GCTAAGGTGTGATTGGCTAACGTTATAACTAAACGTATGTATCCAATTCAACTGCGTTGATTTTGGAAATCCAAACATGCCGACCGAAAGGGAGTGCCTACGAAGGCACGCTGCGTCTGCGCAGGACAGTGCAGCCGTCTGACACCGACAGAGTCTGTAGTGTACACATTGATCTTGGGTTGAGTTAGTACAATGTTGCGTTATCTTCATGGTCGATTACACGGATGGGTCGTTTGACCATGGCGTGCCGGGCCAGGTTGGTGGTGGGGCATATGTCAGGCATAGTACACTGAACCCTTATGACAAGCTTCGACATGCTCAGCTACGAGCAACAAGGTTGTGGTCCCAATGCATACACAGGCCATACATCGTGTATGAGTTCAAACTATGTCAACATGTAATATATAGGGGTCTTTGTTAAATGTTATGAAATTGCCACACGTGTCCCTAAAGCGGTGCATCCATCGCGAGGCCAGGTGGACCACCACGACGCGGACGGCGTGCGCTTCCGGGAGTTCCTCTCTCGGTGCTGACCTGCTGCACTATCAGTATTGCAGTACATTTCTACCAAGTGACCTGAGGCAGGACCACAATCCGAACCGATATGCAAGATGCATATTCACCAAGAAGTTGGTTCTATGCTCAGTCTCTCGTTTGAGCGACCCATGACGAACGACTGGAAAGGTTTGTAAGGCAAGGAAATGACATTATTCAACTGATCGTCCCTTAAGGACTCGGTGCTATCCCGACGACACGTTGTGTGCGTACTATATACATCAAGAGAGAGTCGGCTATGGATGCTGAAATTGACGTGACAGCCATCGCGCGTGGTCGTTTGCTTCCTCTGTGAACCCGACCAGCGTGCGCCCGCTGGACATTTTGAACTCGAGGCCGTTGGGCTTGACCGTGCTGTTCTCGATGGATAGCACGACGTCGCCGCCCTTTTGCGGCTGGCCTTCCAAGTTGATGTCGTAGTACGCCAGGATGTTGTCGCGAAGGACAAAGAACCGCCGTTTCCAACTGCGGAACCGACTGCCGCGCTTCTCGACCCATCCCTTCATCACGTCTTGATGGGCTCGGAAGGGCACGCAATTTTGCTTGTACTTGAAGTCGTCCACGGCTTTGGGGTTGCATGTTTGGCGGATGCCCATCAACTCGTCGCTTGTCATGTCGCCCGTCGTCATGGTCGTGGGCATGTTCATCGCCAACGCGCGGCAGTCCTCTGAGATCTGGGTTAATGGAACGAGCAGCTTCTCGGACGCGTTCGTCATCTCCGTGTAGCACTTCCACATGTCGCCCGACGCCGACACCATTATCAACCCACAGTTGACCTCGCCCCAGTGGTACGCTGCACACACGACGATGCGGCCCTTCGCCGGCGTCGACGGCTCCATGGCCTCCGTTTCATTGCCGTAGTACGACAACTCCCGCCCTTCCAATACCACAAAACGCCTCTTCCACTTCTTGCTCAATCGGTATATGTAACCCGTAAAGTCGGCGTTTGAAAGGCGGAATGCGTAAGATTCACGGACACTCGCCGCGCTGCCGTGGCGGTCACGCATGGATGCCGGTCGGCTCATGACTGTATGCACGTGGATGGATCTCTTGGGAGGGAGGTAGCTAGCTATGCACGTGAGAACTCGACTTCTTCACACTTTGCGACCTCGCTGTCGTCAAAACGTGCAATTGGGAAAAGTATTGAAACACAGTGGGAGAGAGAGAGTCAAGTGTCGGCAGCTCGAAAACAAATAGTATCACTTCAAAATATTGGTAAAAAAATAGAAATAGGGCAAAAATAATTTGAGTAGAAAAAGTATACTGGTAATAGTATTTTTTACAACAAATTGAGGAATTTGCATATTTACCCAGAAAGTGATATAAATTTCTTGGTATGGAGCTTTGTCCGGATAAAACCCATGCGCAACAGCCAAACCTGTGGCATTTAATACTATCCCTCTTTCGAAGGAAAGAAAACAACCAATCAGGAGGCGGCCACGTATCCCCAAGTGTTTTGGACCGCCCACTTCTTGTGAAGAACGACAAACATCATGGGGGCTATGGACGTACTGAAGAAGTGGGACTTCTACAAGAAGATTCCAGAGGTAGGATGACGATGCCATGAACATCTTCCTAGGTGCATGAAGCTCATGTGGATGTCCATGCTAGGACTTGACCGTGTCCACGTTGCCTGGCGTGAGTTTGTCCATCATCGGATGCGCGATCATGTTTATTTTGTTCGTGTTGGAGTTCAACGCGTACCTGACGGTGGCGCACGACTACCAGATCGTGATGGACGAAGGTCTGGACGAGATGCTGCGTATCAACTTCAACATCACAGTGCCGGACTTACGCTGTGAGTTTGCGTCGTTGGACGTGAGCGACCAAACCGGCACGCGCAAGCACAACATGACCACCGACATTTACAAAATCCGCATCGACTCCAAGCGCCGCATCCTGGGCATGTCGGCGGAACAGCAGCCCAAGCCGCAGTTCGGCGACGACGCCGAGTACGGCGATCTCCCCGAATCGGACGCGGTGGTGACGATCCTCACCCCCGACACGTTTGAGTCGTTTTTGAAGCAACACCATTACGTCGCCGTGGACTTCTTCGCGCCGTGGTGCATCTGGTGCCAGCGTCTCGAGCCAGTGTTCGTGCGCACGGCCAAGTCGCTGCCGAGCCTGCATTACGGCCAGCGCATGCGCGTGGCGTCGGTGGATTGCCAACAGTACGGCGAGCTCTGTGCGTCGCAGTACATTCGCGCGTACCCGACGATCATGTTCTACAAGGACGGCGACTTGTCACCTGTCGAAATGTACCATGGCGACCGCACGTTGGAGGGGTTTCTGGACAAGTTCAAGTCGTTGTTTGACGGCGAGCAGGACCTGTCGGAGCACCGCAAGAAGATTCTGCACGAAGAGGACAAGAAGGAAGCAGCGTCCAAGGGCGAGATCATCGCCAAGGCGCCCGGGGCCGAGGGGTGCCAGCTCTATGGCCACCTCATGGTAAAGCGCGTACCCGGCAACTTCCACGTGCACCTGCAAAACCCGAGCTACTCGATGGCCGCGGTCAACGCCAGCCATGTCGTGGGCGAGCTCTGGTTCGGCGAACCCGTGACGTATGACGAGATGAACCGCCTGCCGAAAGATGCGCATGCGCACCTGTACGCGCACCGCCTGGAAGGGCGCGAGTTCATCTCGTACGCGCCAGAGCACACATATGTGCACTACATCAAGGTCGTGACCAACTCGTACGTCCAAAGCAACGGCGACGTGATCAACGTGTACAAGTACACGGCGCACAGCAACGAGTACAAGGAAGAGACGGACCTGCCGTCGGTCATGTTTCGATACGACTTGAGCCCCATGTCCGTCAAGATCTCGGAGAAGAGCGTGCCGTTCTATCACTTTTTGACGTCCGCGTGCGCCATCATCGGCGGGGTGTTTACCGTCATCGGCCTTCTCGACCAAATCATCCATCAAACTGTGCGCGCGCTCAACAAAAAGGTGTTGTAAGAAGGGACTTAACCCTCTCAATCACAGTGTCACATGGTGGCTTTGATCTCGACAGTTTGGAGAGAGTTGGCTATAGAAACCTGCAACTGTATCGCAGAAACGCTCGTGTTGTAAAGAGTGAGGGTGTATATATGTATACTCCTGGAGGTTGCTTTTGCTTGAGAATACAAGGCCCGTCGCCATTTTTCACAGCGCCTTGTGACAATGCAACCCACAGTCATGGGTTCATGGATTTATCACATACTTCGATGTACGTAGTACGTAGTACTAATAGATCATCAGCCTACAGTACTGCAGCATAGTTGTACATATCAGAAGACCAAGTTCAGATTGCACATGTGCATCTGAACTTGGTCTTCTGATATGTACAACTATAACAAATGTTAACGACAACTACTGTATAAACTTCTAAAATTCGCGTAGTTTGTCTAAAAATCAATATTGAATCATGCTGGAGCTCTGATTGGTTGAATATACTTTTCTTTCTTTCTGCAAGAGCCAATCAAATCCACTCAAAATTGGATTAGCCAATTGCGTCCATTCGTGATTCGATTCGGCGGCGAGATTCGATTCGACGGGGTTGCTCCAGACCTGGCGCTGTACGTAGCGCAGATGGACGCGGCGTGGCTGCAAGAAGGTTACGAGTGGGCGCGATCAAACCTTCCTTGATTGAGGCGAACAAGATGAAGCCGTTGCATCGACTGTGCAATCAACGATTCAATTGGGGATGGACGAGGGCGACATCCACGTGGTGGTGGAAGTGCTACCGCATCGATGGACCGAACTCCGTTCGGCAATGGACATGGACCCCAAAGCTCAGACCATCGAATGCAAGAAACGACAGACGTCTTGTACCCCGGATGCACAAGGAACAACAAGCCTGTGCCGAAGAAGGCCAAGCGGGTGTAAGGCTCCTGCGTATTCAGTGTCACAGAAGGCCTTGTATTTCATCAATTGAGAAGCATCGATGGCGCAAACTTCAAGACGTCCATGGAGGCAATTACTACCGAGCACTGGACCGAATGGGTGACCCTCTTTGCAGTCACCGTCGAGGGGTTGGGCAAATCATCGTTTGGGCGCCATTATATATGTATGTACGATTTTGCGTGATGCATGGAAGGATGCTGAGGCCCAACTGTGTTCGAGGACCGTGTACCTTGACCTCACGAAAGGACAGTTGTTGACGCCGTTTTTCGATGATGTAGAAGCTCCACGGCTTGGTTGCCAAACCGCCTGCGATTCTCTTGTCTCCACCTGCCGCGTCCATCCGTCGACACGTTCCTATGAATACGTAGTGTGAATTTGTCCCTTGGTAGCGTCGTGAACCAATTGACTGTGAAACATTGCCCTTGTCTATTGTCTAAACTGGTGAACCTTGGATGCCCCCACGATGATGCCATTCCTTGCGCGCACCCTGACATGCATCCGCAATTGCGGCGTTCATTCAAATAAGTTGAGCGCTTCTACTATCATAATAATATATGGCCAGGCAGGCGCTTGCCATACTATAACATGCTATACCGACAGCACTTAAGTGAAGTACGATTACACATACATGTACAGTCTAGTGTTATTTTGGGTGTTATATTGGGGATGCTACCTAGTTTCTTTTAAATTACCACGTGCCGTGGAGGGTGCCTTCGCGGTCGCGGAAGTTGACGCTGGCGGCCTTGAGGTCCTGGATGCCGACCATGGCTTCGCCCAAGTCAGTGGACAGTTCCTTGAGGATCTTGGCGTCGCGGAAGTGGGTCACGGCCTGCACCATGGCGCGCGCGCGCTTGGCGGGGTCGCCGCTCTTGAAGATACCCGACCCGACGAACACGCCGTCCATGCCCAGCTGCATCATGAGCGCCGCGTCGGCGGGGGTGGCCACGCCACCGGCCGCAAAGTTCACCACGGGCAACTTGCCCGTCGCCGCCACCTGCTTGACCAGGTCGTACGGCGCCTGCATCTCCTTGGCCGCCACGAACAGCTCGTCCTCGTCCATCGACTGCAGTCGGCGGATCTCGCGGTGCACGGCGCGAGCGTGGCGCACCGCCTCGACGACATTGCCCGTGCCGGCCTCGCCCTTCGTGCGCAGCATGGCCGCGCCTTCCGCGATGCGGCGGAGTGCTTCGCCCAGGTTGCGGCACCCGCACACGAACGGTACCTTGAACTTGTGCTTGTTGATGTGGTTCTCGTCGTCCGCCATGGTCAGCACCTCGCTCTCGTCGATGTAGTCGATCTCGAGCGCCTCCAGGATCTGCGCTTCCACAAAGTGCCCGATGCGCACCTTGGCCATCACGGGGATCGTCACGGCGCGCTTGATCGCTTCAATCATCTGGGGGTCGCTGCTGCGGGCCACGCCGCCGTCTGCGCGGATGTCGGCGGGGATGCGTTCCAGGGCCATCACGGCCACGGCGCCGGCTTCTTCGGCGATGCGCGCTTGTTCCACGTTGGTCACGTCCATGATCACGCCACCCTTGAGCATCTTGGCCAAGCCGGCCTTGACCAGGAACGTGCCTTCGGACGAAGTGGGAGCAGCAGCGGTCGTCGGAGCCATGACGAGAAAAGTTCAAAAATGAACCGTGGGGAAGTCACATCCTTGGCTTGTGTGGGCCGGGCCCAAGGTGGTTGACCAATCACAGCGCCGGAAGGAAGCTCCCTTGGGTGGAAGCCATTCATTGTGTCAATTCTTTTGTATATCTTGTTCTATGTATGAATTATATTGAGATTGCTGAATAGTGTGATGACGCAAGTGTTGAAGCGCACTCTGTCGATCTTTACGAAGTCAATTCGTATGCCGATAGCATTTATCGACCTCGGATCGAAATCCATGAAGCCGATGGAGCTCGGTTTATGCTGGCCACGTCCAAACGGTCGTAAGTTAAGTGGTCTCCAAGTGCCTAAAGTGACTTGCCCTTCTTCGTTTGCACAACCAAGATAGAGCAGTTTTGCATATATCAGAGCTTCTTTGAAGTGCTGTCGCTGTGATGTCAGCTTGCTAGTGTAAGTGAACTTTTGGAGATCGAATATAATAGTTATATGATCCTTTCGCCACTTTCAAAGTCGCAAACTATGAAGACAATTGGGAATTCCAACACAAGGATGGATAACAATTAGCTTAACGTTAGTATACGATGAACAACCTCGAATTCCAGAACGACCAAATGACCTCTTCACAAGTTGCATCGATAGGTTAGTCCAAGCTTCGTTCCACCGGCGGCCTTTATACGATCGTGTTGTTCTTGCTTGGCCAGAGAAAATATCCGTGGCTTCCAGAGCCCCACAAGTTTCCAAATGAAATGTCATCGAAAGGATGTGAACTTGGGCCTGGTCCATTTTAGCTTCACTGTCAACACCTTCAAGATATTTCTATTGAGCACAAACGAAAGCTGAATAATAATACAACATTCCAATACATTCAACAAGCCAAACACAAGTAATAAAAATACAACAAACAAATAGTCGTTTTCTATGAATTAATTACTTGGTCAACCACCTTGGGCCCGGCCCACACAAGCCAAGGATGTGACTTCCCCACGGTTCATTTTTGAACTTTTCTCGTCATGGCTCCGACGACCGCTGCTGCTCCCACTTCGTCCGAAGGCACGTTCCTGGTCAAGGCCGGCTTGGCCAAGATGCTCAAGGGTGGCGTGATCATGGACGTGACCAACGTGGAACAAGCGCGCATCGCCGAAGAAGCCGGCGCCGTGGCCGTGATGGCCCTGGAACGCATCCCCGCCGACATCCGCGCAGACGGCGGCGTGGCCCGCAGCAGCGACCCCCAGATGATTGAAGCGATCAAGCGCGCCGTGACGATCCCCGTGATGGCCAAGGTGCGCATCGGGCACTTTGTGGAAGCGCAGATCCTGGAGGCGCTCGAGATCGACTACATCGACGAGAGCGAGGTGCTGACCATGGCGGACGACGAGAACCACATCAACAAGCACAAGTTCAAGGTACCGTTCGTGTGCGGGTGCCGCAACCTGGGCGAAGCACTCCGCCGCATCGCGGAAGGCGCGGCCATGCTGCGCACGAAGGGCGAGGCCGGCACGGGCAATGTCGTCGAGGCGGTGCGCCACGCTCGCGCCGTGCACCGCGAGATCCGCCGACTGCAGTCGATGGACGAGGACGAGCTGTTCGTGGCGGCCAAGGAGATGCAGGCGCCGTACGACCTGGTCAAGCAGGTGGCGGCGACGGGCAAGTTGCCCGTGGTGAACTTTGCGGCCGGTGGCGTGGCCACCCCCGCCGACGCGGCGCTCATGATGCAGCTGGGCATGGACGGCGTGTTCGTCGGGTCGGGTATCTTCAAGAGCGGCGACCCCGCCAAGCGCGCGCGCGCCATGGTGCAGGCCGTGACCCACTTCCGCGACGCCAAGATCCTCAAGGAACTGTCCACTGACTTGGGCGAAGCCATGGTCGGCATCCAGGACCTCAAGGCCGCCAGCGTCAACTTCCGCGACCGCGAAGGCACCCTCCACGGCACGTGGTAATTTAAAAGAAACTAGGTAGCATCCCCATATAACACCCAAGATAACACTAGACTGTACAGTACCTGGACTTTTGGAATTGTGGTAGTGGTTTTTGCGCTGTCGAAAGGCCTGGTAATCTGAAATATTATAATATCCTGGCCCAAAACGTGATTTTGGGACCAAATTCGATAAATCTGAGAAGAATTGAAAAATATGTCTTGCTTACCCAAGTCCAAGTGGGGATTTATTACTCCTCGACGACGTTCAAAACACCATATTAGACCTTTTGAACCAATTTCTGTACCTCGTCGCGCAATCTAATGGCACTACTAGTACGTACTGTATGTAGTAGCAATTGATTGGGTGAAAGTGGAAAATGTGATGGTTTCGACTACTGCCTAGACCTATTTTCGATACGACTGACTGTGAGTGATGAAACAATGTTAATAGTATTAGGGCCCGTCTGGTAACCTGAAATATTACAATTTTCAGGCCCGAAACGCCATTTTGGAGCCGAATTCAACAAATCTGATCAAAATTGAAACGTGTCTTACTTGAAGAGTTTTAACCCGAATCAAATACTTCCACATGGGATTTATTCGTTGAAGTGGTCCAAAACGCCATATTACAAAATGGACAACCTTTTACAGCTCCATTTGGTAAATGGCATGTTTGGTTTATATCCCATTTTTTGCCAAAAAATAGAATAATATTTTTAAAATGTTATACCACACGCACGCACCCTATTACGTTTTGACCAAACTGTGCCTCTATTCGGTAACGTTATACTACATCAAGGGGGATTTCTAGCAAAAGATGTTTCTCTGCACATTGCAGTTGTTTAAATACATATAAGTACAGCTCGTTGGCTCAGGGTGTCCAGTTGTATGCAATATATATATATGTACAGTATTGCAAAGTTGGTAACTATTGCTGCTGTAGTCATGACATTGGTCTTCCAGTGACTTTGTACCAGTCCGAGACCTGTGGTTATATCTTCAACGTGCCTTTCTTGGTGCTCACGATCGCAACCAAAACGCTACACATGGAACAATAAGTGTCGACTTGAAATGACTCTGTCGCATGTACCTTTCTTCGAGCAGCGTGTACTCGACCGCTCGCTCCATGCTGTTGGTGACCACGTCGCAGAGCAAGCTCTCGACCTCGTTCACACTCGAGTCTGCCGTCAAGTAGGTCGCCGCCGTGACCTTGAGCCACTCCGTGTCCACTTGCATCTGCTGGACGCCAAACCTGCCGAACGTGGCCATGCGAGCGTACTCGCCATACGCTTTGCACGCGATCTTGAACACGCACGAGAGCACACTGTCGACGGAAATGGCCAAGTCCGGGCCGTGGTAGACGTGGACCTTCTTGGCAAACAGCCGGGCTACGTCCATGTACATGTGTCCGGAGTTGGTGGCTTGCTTGCCGCTGCCCATCGAGCGCGGCTGTTTGGACCACCGAAGGTCCCGCACGCCAGAGGTGCTGTTGATGCGGCTCGGGCCTGGCACGGGCTCGCCAAATGCCTAGACCAAACATGAAAACCTCAATATATATATTTTTTAAATATATTTTTTCACCAACACTCTACCTCAGCCGTGGACTTGACCACGCGCACCCACTCGTCGACTATAGCGTCGATTTCAGGCCGCACCGCCCGTGGTGGTTCGTTTGCCTTTAAACAGGATGGTCGATCCTCACACTAAATGAACAACTACACACACTAAATGGAGTTCGTACCTCGAGCCAATTGGGCGTCAGCACGGCCGTGCGAAGCAACGTGTTGAGGCGGGCGCTGTGAAGCAACGCAAACTGGTGCAAGAACGCCATGGCCGTGTCCTTTGCGAGTTGGTCGATCGTCGGTACATCCACGATCGTGCCGGCGGATCGAAGACTCGACGCCTGGTAGACACATGACACACATGCGAGATGACGTTATCGTCCATGAGACAAATGACGTGATCAGACCGGATCCAACGGGTTGAAATTCGGGAGACATTCCACCATCACTTGGATGCAGCGGGGTACGACCGTCGCGCCAAACTCGCGGCACACACACGCGAGCAGTAGCAAAAACGGCGGCGTCACGGCCAGCGCCGTCGGCATCGCCACGTCCTCCGGCCTACACTCGTCATCACATATATGAAATATTATATTAGTTCGTACGTTGGCTCGACGGATGGCGGGTGGATCAACCGCAGCACCATGGACGTGAACCAGTCGAGAAAGGCCTTGAACCGGTTCTACATACCATACATCCATCACATTACTGCCAAGTCCACGTTCCACGGATCAAAAATATATTACTCACTTGGACGAGGTCTGACAGCGCCCGGCTCATCTCTGGCAACACGTGGGCGGCAGTTGAAATCAGCGGCTACATCAGCAATATTTGATGCACTTATTCGAATGCGACGAGTGAATATATATATATATATATATATAACGCGACGAGTGAATATATCTATATATTATATATATATAACGCGATATATATAACGCGACGAGTGAATATATATATGCATTATATATATATATAACGCGACGAGTGAACATATATATATTATATATATATATATATATATATATTATGCGACGAGTGAAAAAATATATATTGTATATATATAATGCGGCGAGTTCATATATATAATACGATGAGTGAATATATATATAAAATATATGTAATACGACGAGTAAATATATATATATAATGCGACGAGTGAATATATATATATATATATATATAATGCGACGAGTGCATATATATATATATATATATATATATAATGCGACGAGTGCATATATATATATGACCTGCATGCGCTGCAAGCTCTGCTCGATGCGGTCGACGTATACGGTGCACAATTTCTTGGCGAGTTCGGGCATGTTGCGGGGATTGCCTTGGACAGTGTCGTGGAACGTGATCAATTTCTCTACAAACTCGGTCTTGACCAGTGTAAACGCCGCGTCCACTTGAAATCGAATCTACCACCCAATCACCAGTGTTAGCATTTGATTAAAGTAGACATATATATATCATAGATATATGTTTGGTGTTGATTCATATGTAGGACAAATGACTCTTTAACAACCCACCGAGGCTTCGACCAGCTGCGACGTGCGCGCGAGGATGTCCCTCGTCGGGAGCAGCGGCGCCGTGAGCGAGTGGATGCCGTCGATCACGGCTTTGAGCATGAGCATGAGGATGCCGTACCCGCCCGACCCCCCGACCTTGTCGCCAGATGTCTAATGCACAACGATTGTGGACTTTGCACTTGGAGTATTGTTATATATACTTACAAACTGGGCCAACTGTCGCTGAAATTGAACCCCACAGACGGACGCATACCCGTCAAACCAGACGGTCGCCACCGCACCAAACGCAGCGGTGGACTCGACGTCTGCACGACCAAACACGGCTTGGAACGCTGTCGCACTGGTTGCAAACGATGGCAAGAACGCCTGCATAACCACACGTTTACACGACAAAAAAGGCAGCAGGATCGTTTTCTTTCGTACATTGTTGATGGCGTCAATGTACTTGACCGTGTCGCAGGGCTGCGTGTCCTACACGCGACAACAAGGTTGTAAAGTACTACGAGTGTATTCTGCACATATTTCAAGAACGTACAAATAACGCAAGAAATTGCGAATTTTTTTAAACTATTCAATTTGCGAAATGACCAAACGATGCAAAAATGCGACAAGTCGTCAAAAAGATACGTCTTGACAATGCAAATCTGTTTGGTTACATCCTACGCGATGGTATAAAACGCCAGATTTAGAATGCGAAATGCGAAACCAGATGCATATAAAAAATGAGACATACTATTGGCAAGTCGATTATTCGAAATTGGAGTGCTCAATCGAATCAACACAAGAACCAAATCGCAGGCAGACGACAATCGATATACGACCAATCAAAACCCAGAACGCAACACCCAATTCGTGTATGTGACTGAAATTAGTGTGACACTGAACGATGTCTACATACAAAAGTCAAGACAAAGAATCGATGGATGATACATTTGGCGAATCATAAAAGTCCAAATTTATTATGGGTAAAACAACAATATATATATATATATAGAGAGAGAGAGACTAGATGGTGGTCGTACTTGGAACGTGGCAACGAAATGGTCAAAATGGAGCTGGTACCAGTTGAGAAAGCGCTGGCGGACTTCTGGCACGGACACATTCAGATCTAAAAGTAAGGCCGCGTACTCTTGGACTTGGGGGGCGGTCGTGCTGTCGTCGTCAAATTTCTTTTGCACAATCGTACGCAGCCCAAACATAATATGTTCGGCTTCCAATTGAATCGTCTAGAAATATATGATACAAATATATATGGATGATACAAATATATATATATATATATATATGGATGATACAAATATATATATATATATATGGATGATACAAATATATATATATATATATATATATATATATGGATGATACAAATATATATATATATATAGGCGAAAGGCATTGTGAGGGTGGGGCGTGGTAGATATATACCTTGAACGACGCAATGTGCTGGTATCGCTTGAGGATGCGATTGGCCACGACAAAGTACTTGGTCGCCTTGTCGTACTCTTGCGCCTTCATCGCACTCTTCAGACGCTGGGGCAGTTGGAAGATGAACTCCAAGCGCTTGAGAAGTCGGCGCACCCCCACGAGTTTCTCCACCTGTATGCAGCCCTGGGTGAGCATGACGTTGATGGTGACGACGAGGGTACGTACCTTGGACCGGAACGGAGCCAACGCATTGCTCACGTTTTCGCTTTGGACGGTGATTTTGCCCATGCTATCGACGACTTTCTTCACTTCCGACTCCATGCTTTCCACGTTGGTCTGTCGAAATGGAGTTGTGTCGTAGAAGGGCTACGGACAAAACTGACAGAAGGTATGCACTGTACCTTCATCTTGCGAATCGTGTCGGTGGCGCTGATGAACTTATTGTAGTTCTCGTACACGAGCATCTGCATGTTGGTGTCCAATTCCTTGATCTCCTTGATCATCTGGTCGTCCCGTCGAAGGAGTTCGTCCATTCCCATGCTCTCCAACATGTCCTACGCGCATCCGATAACATGGTGCATCTACAGCATAGTACCTTGACGTAGTCATCGACGAGGAAGCCAGGGGCGTTGATGTTCTTACTCTGGCTCACCGTCTCGTCCTTGTCGGACAAGTCATAGTACGAACTCATGAGCTCTTGCATGCGCGACTCCATGGTCGCTCGGCAAAGGATTCGATCAAATGTGAACACCATGCCGTCGTCGTCTTGTCATTGGCTAAAATTCCCCAATCAATAATAAAAACCACACGATTTTGTATGGAATAAAAATCAAAAGTTTTAGCCAATGAATGAATTTCTACAAATTTGATTTTCACGGCTGAACTTGGTTAACTGTTAGCTACCGTTCTTACTGGTATATAGGACGAAGTCTATATAACTCACACCCGATGCAGCTGTTCGGCTCTAGATACATTGTGGGATCTACCGGTACGTACACCCAAGCCTTTCTAACATATCATTCCACGTAGTAGCGCCGCGGAGAAAAATAAATACAATGTCAAATTATAGTTTCCTTCTGTGCTAGCTACCCTTGGCAGGCGATGACATGGGTGGCGGGGTCGTTGGAAGGCGGTGGTCGATGGCGGGGTACAATACAGATGTTACACCGGGGTATATATGTGGACAACTTGACGCCGCTTCTCATCCCATGGACTCGTCGTCCATGTCCAAAATGGAGTGCAGGATCTTGACTTCTTGCGGTGTTAGCTCCATGGTGCAGGACGGGGGTCGGATTTCGTAGTCGGGTTGGTCGTCGTCGCTCATGAGGTTGTTGATGGCGTCCATGGCTTCTGGCTTTAGGAATGCCTCGCCAGAGGACAGGTCCAACGCGGCAAACAGTTGCTTTTGCAGGGACGGACGCTTTTGACTGCTGCACCCTGAGGAGGGCTGCACTGGAGCACCGCTGAGGTAGGGAAGGCTGGTGCTGCTCGTGAGCTCGGGCGACTTTTTGATGCGTCGCTTCAGGTCTGACCGCCGTTGGTTGTTGTTGTGTCGGATGCGGTGTTCTTCGCACATGGTGTGGATTTCGCCGTTGAATTTGAGCGTGCGCTCGTTCGAGCACCGGCCCGACTTGTACCGACATGTGCCGCGCCAAGACCGTTGCTTGCAGGCGCCACCGAGCTCGACTGGTTTCTTGTGCATGGGCATGACGTTCATGGCGTGGCGTTGTAGTGGGGGGGTAGGTCGTTGCATGCTGAGTGCCACAAACCGTTGTTTGCTTGGGAATTGGTGATCCATTGAGAAATCGGACGATGGATAGTATGCCACGGACATGGCGGAATTGAAAATGACATGCCTCGACTACAACACGGCCGAAATTTCGAGTCTATTCTCTCGCACGGTTTGGCTGTTTTATCCTTCGTCGCAACTTTATCCGGATGTTGACCAATCTGCCTTGATAATAGTAATATTATTGCGAAATGTAGAACCATCGTAGATTCGTGACACAAACTCGACACCATCGGCGACACCAAGACGCCAAGCAACATCTCGACGACGGACGACGAGTAGTTGCCGTCGTCTTCCCGATCGATTCATTTTGCTTGTAGACGGACGCAAGCAGGCTAAAGAGACCAGATGTGGCTGCTGGTGCTTGTGAATTGACATCGTTTTTCGAATGTTGACGGGATATCCGGATACGTTCTTCAAATAACGCAATGGCATTTTACACATCCAAGCACATTTGTCACATAAAATGTCGTTCCAAATTGACCTGCTTGCATTTGTCAGAAACGCCACAAATCATTTCGTTTGGTTGAGCCTTTGGAATAATTCCGTCATTAAAACAGTTTCACTGTTGTTTTGACCCGAAATATTGTTTGTATGCTCAGTCCACGTCACCTCTTACGTTAAGGGCATCTCAGTGGTTGGTTACAGTATAGTGATAGCGAACCACTAGCGATGCAGTGAACCCCGCAGATTTAGCATCGAATGTGAGTACATTCGATGGGGGTAGGACAGAGTCCTAGGTTACTGGTGAAAACGTGTATCCGGATGTATTAATTTCAAAACAAGAAGTGGAACTGTTTTACTGAGGGAATTGTACGAGGCTTTGCCATCCAAGTCGAGGTGAACGTTACTGTATCTCTCTCCTTGGTCATGGTTCCTCGATTCAATTGCCAACAAGTGAATCCGTGGGCGGTCGAGACACTTTGCTTTCAACGGGCGCCAGTTTTACACTTCTAAAACCTCAGTTTGTGGTACATACTAGTGGAGTTGAAGGTCCATAAGGACTCTCAGTACATATATACTAGTACTTACTACGTGCAGTTTGCAGTTTGGACAAACTACGTTGAAGTACTTTGCGTTAGATAGTACTTACTTCCCACGACCGTCATGACGATGACTTGGACGTTTGAGTAAAGCCACGCAAGGGTACGTACCCCAAGATCTTGAAACCCAATCTCAACATCTCGAACATAATGACGGTACATATGACAGTACCTACTGTATTGTAGAACGTGGGACTGTACTCCTCTACGTACTACCAGTACTGGTATGTACTAGGTACTACTTGAACTGTAGTTATTTGTTCATGTTAGTACCGAATTACTACGTAGTAATTGACTAGTACCATCTAGCCCAGTACGCCGCTGTGTGGCAATGGTTGGAACGCTGCTGAAAGCCCAAAACGTTGACATCCAGCACGCCTTGAACGACGAGACTTCATGTCTTTCACGACGTGGTGATGTATAGGTCGGAATAATGGCATACCAACATTCAGCCCCCTGCGACGGTTTCTTCGAAACGACCAGGTCGGTTGTCCAACGCACCCCCAGACGCTTATTAGCTGCGGTTCATCTCATCACTCAGCATACGCACCAAGGAACATGAAGGCCTCATCGTCACACTTGGACATGTTTATCATTGCCCTGTGGATATTCGTCGGCGTCGCTGCCGTCGTCTGCGTCCTTGCCTTCGTGCTATTCAGGATGCGCCAACGTCGCCTTGCCGCCGCCGGCCTCGGCGCCACCACGGGCACCAACTCACCCGTTGAAGGCGGTGTGATCTACGACGTCCTGAGTACGCCAGTGATGGCGTACAGTGTCAAGATCGTTGACACCCCAAAAGGATCGCAGAATGTGATGGAAGCTGCGATCTAATTGATGGATAGTAACACCGTCTCTGGTTATATACGTAACCCAAGTCGTGGGCACCTTCCAGTATACTTGTATTGTCGAATGTGCTTCTGGGGGCAACAAGAAGCAAATGAGTGATCATATTTCTACATCCTTATACACGGCTGTCGACCCATCAAGCAGCATGCACCCTTCGAGGACCAAAAACAAGATCTCATTGGTCGAAAAAGATATTTTCGTTGATATATTTTGACCAAGAACATAAAATTCACGCGATTGAAATGTCCCTTATGCATCAACCAATTGGAAGCTGGTTGTGGCACTGTTGAGATGTTCAATTCGTCGCGGAAAGTTAGTCTGAATACTCTGATGACTGCCTCGCAACGTGGACCCCGACGTCAGCCTCTCGTCCAACGGCGGACGAATCGTCCTGGGTCTTGGAGATGAGGAAAGAAAGTTTGAGATGCGGTCGGTTCAAGGAGCTGGCGATCTCGGCCGATGTGCCAGTGACGTCCACCAAGTCGGAGGTGTCGGCTCTGTGGAGGGCGTTCGCACAACGTTGGCTGGGACTTTGCCAAAAGCACGAGACCGTGCGGAAGCAAATTTTGCACCCTCACACGGGCAACTTCGAGCCGGGGGCGATGACGTTAGTTCTAGGCGAGCCGCAGTCCGGCAAGTCGTCGCACATGAAGATCCTCAGCGATCGGTTCCCCCTCACGAAGAGTGCGTTCACGTGGATGGCCGAATCACGTACAACAGCGAGGACGCGCCAGCCACAGCTCGTGACGTACACAAACCAGTGTCGATGTTCTACTTGTTTATGGGGGGTCAACCCTCCCGGGTCGGTCCCAGATCCCCGCCGCTGGGTACAAGTGGCTGTACAACGTCATCTAAACCCCGCTACACCATGGCGATCCCCCTCACGTCGATCGCGTTCAAGTGCCCGACGGACTTGGGGTACCACGACTTAACGAACATCTAGATATATTCTGCGCACGTTCAACATCACGATGCTCACTGCAAGTGCGTCTGTGGACGTCAAAAGTACCAAGACCGATGGACGACCAACATGCTCGTGATTGTCGGCTACATATTGTCCTCTTTCATGTGCTCGCGCTTGTTTGTTTGCGATATGTCAACCACCAAAAGCATGAAGCGTGGCAACATGTGACACTGTATTCATAGTTTTCTACCGGTCAGTGATAATACTCTATATGATCCTTGATCATTCACAGTACAAACCAAAAGGCAAACACTGTCGCAAACAAAAATGCCATTCAGAAGATCGTTACAATCGTGGGCTAGAGATAAACTTGCTAGTGCAATCCAAGGCAAGGTGTCGTTGACCTCAACAGCAACCTGGATAGTAATCGTAGTTAGTCGTGCACAATCGGCAGATCGGCCCGCGCACCCCACTCGGACCACGACCCGTCGTACACTGGCACCCTACTCAACTGGCATTTCCAATCCACGAATGGCATGATAGCTTACCGTTCGAGCGGCACGTCCAGCAAGTGAAGACCCAATGTGAGCACGGACGCTGTCACGCCCGATCCACACCTTGAAGCACAAGTCATAAACAAACAACACTCAACCACCACCACCCATTCATCCTTACGTTGTAGCCACCAGCGTAGTGCCAGCCAAGCGCACGCCTAACACTCCCAAGTACGTTGCCGTCAAGCTATACATGCTATATGTAGCAGAGTAGTTAGTTACCACTGGCTTCAAAGTTGGCTCGAATCTCGTCCACGTCGCGCCACGCCTATCATGAGTGAGAAACCCCCATCGATGCATGCCACGGCTACCGAGAAGTCGTCGGCCGCGAGCACTTTGCCAAATGGCACGTTCAACGCCCCGGGCATGTGGCCCCCGCGCATACCAGGGCGAGGCTCCTAGATACGCTGCCACGTCACAGACCAAAGTGAACATACGACGGATGGCGTACAGGTTCCTTGGCGTAGAAACGGCTGGGGCCGCGGGCGTCAATGATCTGATCCTTCGTGTCCAAGAGCGACAGCACCTGAAAATAGAAATGTCGACATTGCAACGAGAGCAGCATAGAACGTGTGTACTTACTTGTTGGGCGTTCAGCACTAGGGCCGGGCGAGGGACGGCGACGTACGACGCGCTCGGAGTCGGCGCCTCAGGAGGTCCTTGGTCCACGGCGCGGCCTTCCTTCTTCCACTGGGTCAAGCCTCCGTTGAGCACGTGCACTTGGTCGTGGCCAAAGTACTTGAACGTCCACCAGCATCGCGCTGGACTGCCAGAGATTGTCATGGGCGAAGGCTTGACATGGTGTTTACCTGAAGCAGTTGAAGCCACCATACACGACGACAGTGGAGTCGTTTGAAATGCCCAACGCTTGGACGGCAGAAGAAAACTCGGCAGCAGGGGGCAACATGTGTGGCAACGAAGACGACGTGTCCTTGATCGCTTCGATGTCGAAGAACGCCGCGCCAGGCAACCGTTCCTACGAGAGATGAGCACGGGGATGTGGCAGCAAGGAGATGCAAACGCACCGTGTTGAACTCCACACGTCCGTTGCGTGCCTTGTCCAAATACCTATGGCGGCCGACATGGTCAATCACCACACGACAGCTCCTGCGACGGGATTTTGTACCACGAAGCATCAACGAAGCGCACATCACGACCCGAGGAAACCAGCGCTTCCACCTGATCACCTGTCACGAGCGGTCCCAAGCGCGACGACGTGGACATGGTGCTGAGGAGGTTGGAAGGGCGAAGAAAGTTGACACGACCCAGTCGGAACATTGCCAGCTGTGCCTTGCAATATCATACGGAATGCAAGATTTATCACTCCCATAACTTTTGCCCTCCAAAGGTATATTTGATTTCAGGAGTTTAACGTGCAGTGTGTGAGGTAGTATTATGTATAATTTCGAACTACTACGTAGTACATACGTAGTAATATTCTAATATTCACATACATTACTATAATATTACATGTGTGTTCATGATTCGTTGCTTGCGAACGTAGAGCAGAGTTTCTCAGTTGGGCCTTCAAGATTCTGCATGCAGAATATGTGGTTGGTCATGAAGAGATTGCAAAAAACAGCATCGAAATCGGCTCACAGGAAAATTTATTTGCCTTCGTCTCGCCCAAACGGACAGTCTAGTATAAACTCAATACTATAATAACATTTTGAAGTAATATTATTATCTCGATCAAATAGGAATTCAAATACTACTTCAAGTATAGTACTACGTATTAATAGTATTAATACTAGTAGTCCTATTGATACGTAGTACTGCGTAGTACCTGCTTATTAATAGTACTGTATACGGTAAATATACTGAAGTTCGCTCCTCGTAATAAAAATATACGACGAGAAGAACATTTTTTCGGTAAGTTGCCACGATCATCCGGATACTGCCTTTTGATTTTCGGTTTCAACAAAACGTCGGTAGATGGGGAGCGCGGTATCTTCCGATGTCATCGGGACGATGGATGATGCCTCACTCACGTCGATCCTCAAGGAGGTCCCGCCACACACACATGAAAGTCAGCGTAGCTCACCCTTTGGAATCTCATCTTAGGCGATGAAGAAAGACCCGGCCCGCATCGATCGGCTGTTTGCTGCTGCACGCCTCGCCATTCGAGACGAACAGGTCGCTGCCAGCGCCGCAAAGGATGATGCTCCTCCTAGTGACGAACATGGTGGTAAGACTCTGTCAGAAGAAGAATTTGCCGCTGCAGTTGCCGCCGAGTTGAACGCTGTCCGCACGAATCCGCAATCATACATTCCGTACCTGGAAGCCATGTTAACGCAATTCTCCGGCAACATCTTGACCATTCCTTCCGAAGGCATTCGCCTTCAAACGGAAGAAGGTCCGACGGCGGTACGCCTGTAACGTTATGCTTTTTCTTCAACATCGATAGCGTCTCTCTCGAGTAGGTGCAAGACTGCCTGGTCTTCTTAAAGGCGCATCAGCCAGTGGACTACTTGGTGTTGGAACCCAACATGTCCAAAGCTGCCGTGGACCATGCATTAGACCTTGGCAACAACGGCGCTGTGAGCCACACGGGCAGTGGTAACCAACCCCCCCTACCCTACCTTCAGCCATGTTGATACGTACACGTAGATGGCAGCACAATGGTCGGTCGCCTCGAGCACTATGGCGAGTGGAAAGGATCTATTGGAGGTAGGTTATGCTCCTCCTTCTCCTTGGGTATCTTGCTTATCGTGTGTAGAACTGCTCGCGTTCGGGCTATGTCGGCCACGCAACGTAGTGCTGCAGCTCCTCGTGGACGACGGCGTGCCCACCCGCGGCGATCGCATGAGTCTCATGGACAACAAATTCAAAAGTGTCGGCGTCGGCTTTCACACGCACAAGTTCCAAAAGTTTGTGTGTGTGTTGGACTTTGCCGGCGGGTTTGGGGCGTTGGGTACGTCTTGCTCTGGTTGTACGAGGGCGCCACCATCATTTTGTCGTCGTATGCGATACAGTGAGACGATGATCCCAACCACCATCGACCTGTGTAGTGGACAAGCTCACGACGGCCAAGCTCGTGCACGCGCGGGGGGAAATCACGTCGGACGTAGAGCTCGTCCTCCAGAGCATCCCGTTTGACGAGCTCAAGATCGAAGTGCGCGAAGTGCTCACGAACGCCCCTCAAAAGTCCGTCTCGCTCAACTACAAACCTGGCTCGGTATGATATATGTATTGGTAAATGAACGCTCATGTGATGGTGGATGGATGGCTGGTAGATTGAGGTAACGGTGACAAACCCCGACGGATCGAGCCAAATCAAATCGGGGACGTGGGGGGTCGCGGACGCCGCGCAATAGATGAAGTCTTGACAACAGAGTGAGTATTCGTACGTGTTGAGTACATCACAACACTCAAACGACAGTAACGTACCTAGTATATTGTTACTAGTATAGGTTTCCTTATTACCTGGTTAAAGGAACAATGCGTGAAAAGTGCTGCTACAGAATGGACCCAAGTCGAGTGAGTGAGTCGGTAGAGTGGCTTTTGTAATGTACAAACGGTAGTACTGTGTATGGGTGAATATGATCACTTTGCGGACACCGTTCGGACAATTTCAGTCGGACATACTTGGCATTTGTATTGGACTTAAGGGGAACATACTTTGTCCGAATGAAAGTGTCCGAAAGGAATATGCTCGGACATACTTGTGTATTGTATTAACCCGCATAAGAACGATCAGCTTTACAGTAGCGAGCTACGACAGAGCATCCGCCCACAAAATTGCGCACACCGCAGCGTAGCGGAGGTCGTGTGTATAATTTTGTGCAGGCGGTGCCTTGGCGAGGAGTGAGCCCCAATCGTGCACTTCACCGAATGTCCAATCGATTCCTCTTGTCGGGAAAAGCGGCAGGTAGGCCGCAGGCCGTGCCGCTACCCGGACCAGGCCTGGTTCAACTATTCGCATTTAATGCGTAAATTCGGTTAAGTGCGTGTCCGAAGCACATATCCAGCAAATATTTGTCCGAGTCGTTATGGTATGGCATGCTACAGTAGCTACTATTAATAGTACTGTAACGTTAGTACATATTTCTAGTACATACTAGTAATACATGTATTTTAAAACTGTACTATTAATATTAAAATAGTACAGTAGTACAGTAAATAAGTGTACAGTCTTGCCTCACGATGTTGATGTGGAGGTCCACCCGTATCAAGTACGCCATGCTATCATAGCATGTATCATTGCTACAGTATGTACTTCGAAGTACGTAGCTCGGTCTCGTGAACACAACGCAGTCAAGTGCGCTATGTACTTTGAGGTACTGCATAGTAGGGGCAAAGTTGTAGCTCAAGACTTGGCTAACGTTAGTGGATGAACGGGTGTCCGACGTCAATCTCGTTGGTTTGGTGCAGCTTTGGAAGGGTTACTGTAGCACAACAAGACATGCATGGTTGGTTGGTACTCGTTAAATATGTTTGACTAGCAGCTAGACACCTGGAAGGGCGGGCAGGGAGTCACCAGAGCTCGGAAAAGTTGGCTCGCGGCATAGCTTGGAGGCCCATGGCGCGAACCATGAGCAGCTCTTCGGGGTGGGGTTGCTGGTCGTCCCAGTGGTTTACTCGGTCCATCGCCAAGGCTTCGTGGACGTCCACGCGGTCGCTAAAGGACACGCGCTTCCTTGACGTGGAGGGGGATTGAGTAGACCAAGTCACGTCAGGTTGGACCCATTCGCTTGCTAAAACAGCCCTGCGTCGTTCTCGGGCGATGATGTGTCGGGTTTTTTCTGTCGTCATGAGCAGGTGTCGAGCTGTCTCCCAGTCGCCGTTGGCTCGGAACCGGTCGAGCGTCCGTGCTTGCAGTTGCAGGATGCACAGGTACGCAGTCTGGAGTTGGTTGGGCGTGCGTCGGGACGAAGTAGGGCCATTGTAGGAATATGCCGTCTTGGCTGCCTTATTCGTGTCTGTGCTGGTCCATTCAGGGCACGGTCGCTTGCGATGGCTCTCAAGCATATTGGTAAGTGGTTCCCCATGCATAATGGCGGCGTACTGTGGTGGCCGCTGGCACCATGTGGTGATGAGCAGGTGACACTCTCAAGAGGAGAGTACATGGCATTTATTACATTAAATGTATGACGGAAAGAGATCAACCATCTTGAGACATCCCATGGCCACATCGTCATTTGAGACACCAAGGTGTCGCCATTCATGTCAATCAAAATCATTCTTTTTATTGTTTTTGCTGCAGCCAAGTTGTATCGCTCCTGAAAAACAACCGCATTCGAATGAATTACCAGTCGTGTATATGTACCTGAGAAATGTGTTGACGTGAGACGGTGATTTCACGAGTAAGTAGTACTAGTACCGTACTTAACGTTAACACTTTGATACTAGCGTTAGTACGGTTTGGCTGAGCATGGATAAATGCCACTCTCATTACTGTAGTGCTACGGGTATGCATTGTGAGTCAATTGCACTCGAACTGCCCAGTTTGTACACGGCGCTACAGATTACGACGGAAATAATTGCCAAGTGGTACTCTTCAAATATCTAGCAACCCAAGAGGTAATTTTCGCACACCGCCTCTATCGCGTGTCGCTGTTGGATGTGTATCCAATGGATGTCGAATATGTACTCCAGAGTACCATGGTAACGAAGTGAACACCCCTACGTATGGCACCTAGGCACGGGGGGGGGTCGTTGCTTTCGAAGGGTGTGGACAGGTACCAACACCTCCTGTGCAGAGGGGTTGGCCAACCGCACTACGAAAGTCGGGGGCACAGCAAATTCTGCAAGGCCTCCAAGGGTTCTATGAGTGTGGTGTAACGTTACAGTAGACGACTGTAGGGATGACGTTATCGACGATATTGTACTTGAAAATGTTAATTTTTGGCGTGTCAACTCTACACTGCTGTAGCCAACCAAGCATCGCTATTAATACCGGTAGTAACGTTGCTTTGAAGTACAGTACAAAACGGTATAGTACACTGTACACCAAAAAGGCCCAGTGATGGGCATACAGTACAGTATACGAGTATACTGATATCACAAAAACGTGAATGTGCCCTCGATATGCAGCGCTGCTCCAATAGGAGTTGAATTGGTTCCTGACTTAACGTTACTACTAAGAATAATTTATCGTACAGAGGAACTTGATACTACATACAGTACATCTCTTGTGGTTACAAGATGTCGTCCACGCAACACTCTGAACGAGCTCCTCAATTCCTTTCTACTCCAAATACTACCATATCTGTCGTTGATCTGCACCATGAAATACAAAACGCGAATATAATTCTATAATTCAATACAATCTTGAATCAATTATACAATTCGAATATTTAAATAATTTTTTTAAATTTAGTTTCATGGTGCAAAGGTACGACAAATACGGTAGTATACATATATTGTCGTGTTGTGAAGAAGGTCGTTTCAAGATAACAATCAACTTCAGCTCAACTTGATCTGCGGTTAATCCATCCTTTGGTCGGAAAGAAGTGTTGTCCGGTTGAGCTGCAGCCAAGCATGCTTCGCAATGGCATACACGACGTGCACACACCAAGAAGACCAACTCACATGCGTCGAATACACAGATTGCAAATACAGCACCACGTGGATGTGGCCCCTGGACGCCGCCGCCGTGATCACTTTTGGCTGATACGGCTGCAGCTGGGCACCGGTGCAAAGGAATTTCACTGTCTCCAGCGACCCGGTCCATGCCGCACCATACAAGGCGTCATCGCCACAGCCCTCTGCGCCAACGCTTTGCAAGTACGCAGCGACATCGAGCTTGCCATACATGAGCGCATACGTCAACGCGTCCGCTGTGCAGCCTTCCGAGCGGTGCTCGTGTAAAAATTTGACAATGTCCAGATGGCCATTTCGAGCTGCCAAGTCAATCGCTTGGGTCGTACAGCCTTCGTGTCGACGGTCGTGCAAGAATGTCAGGACATCCAGGTGACCATGCGCTGCGGCCCCATCCATCGCGTACACCGTGCATCCTTCCGTGCGATTGGCATGCAGATATGCAACAATCTCCATATGCCCACGCGACGCCGCGCCGTTCATGGCTCGCGTCGTGCACCCTTCGGCTCGATAGGTGTGGAGAAACTGCACGATTTTGAAATGCCCTTCTGTCGCGGCGTAGTCTATCGCATCCGCTGTGCATCGGAATTCAGGGCAAGATGTACAAAACTGCAGGACGTCCAATGCTCCACGTTCGGCCGCTATGTCCAGCACCGTTGGTGTCAGCCTCTCGGGGGTGTGTTTGGCCAACAAGTGAAGGACGTCCCGTCGCTTGGTCGACGTCAAACTATCAAGGTAGCCGTGAAAAATGCATGCCCACTTCCAAGGCACGTCCGACTCGCGATACTTGTCCAGCTTATTCCACTTTAGGCTAAACGGAACAAGGTCTTCCACGCTCCCTAGTTGGTACGACGCCATGATCTCAACCAGGCCTCGTTGCCGCAATGCTTCATCGGCCATGTCGGAATCCAAAATGCACCTTCATAAAAGGTCAAAACTAGATTTGCACTCAGCAATATCCAATCAAATCGCTCCAGGTCGTTTTCAGTCACCCAATCGAAGCTATAATTGGCCAATCATTGAACGCTGAGGTCGTATATCATTTGTTATCAACCAATGACATCTACGCATCACGCATCTTGGTAGCCAATAATCATAGAAGCGAATTGAAATGAAACGGAATAGTCGCAGCAGCAACAAGGGGCGGCAGCAGCCGACGGCCGGAGGGTCCGCGTCAGCCAGGAAGACTTGGTTCGATGACTCTACCATTGCCCTGGTTGCGATGGCTCAAGATCGGGCGCTGAAGGCGAAGGTTAAAGGCAGCAAAGGCGGCGATGATCGGAAGGAAGCAAGGCAACGCTCATCGCAGCTGTCAACGAGTTCGGACACCGTCGGAGTGTCGTTCGCTGGAGCGGCATTCCAAGCCGACTACTTTGCGTCCAAGTTCACCAAACGAGGGCAACTCGTCTACACCATACTTCACGACGTGCTCTCCAAGAGTCCACATGTGCTGCCACCGTCAGAAACACTCGCGGTGGCCTCGTTCGGCGGCGGGCCAGGGACCGACGCGGCTGGCATCGTGTGGATTCAACGAGAGCTTTTTCCCACGTCGTCCGTGCATTGCGTCTTGTTCGACTACGAAACCTCGTGGAAGCGCTACGTGAAAACCTTGGACGACCTGTACGGCGACGCAGTGTCGGTCTCGTTCGCCCCTTGCGACGTGACCCACCCCCTGGACACGGAACCGAATCGCCACGTCAGCGAGATTGAGACCATGGACATCCTTCTCTTCTGCTTTGTGTGTCATGAGACGTCCGCCCGGCAGCGCAACCTGCAGTTCTACCTGGATGTCGCGATCGCAGCCAAGGTGGGGGCACTTGTGATTCTCGCGGACGTCAAGACCAAATCCAAGGAATGCTTGGAGCAAGTAGCGATCGCCATGGCAAGTGTCCGGCGCATCCAACGCTTGAGGCTGTCCAAGGCACCCACGGCCGAAGCGGTAGTTTTTCGAATTGAAGCGTAACGGTTGAATACACAGTTACAGTACTCGTGCGACGGATAATAGTGACCACAATTACGGATAATTCAATTCACTGGCAACTCAAAGATGGACGCAATTCCGACAGACCCTCCCGTGCATGTGCACTCCATTGCGGGCAAAGCGTCGTGCTGCTACGTGGACAGCATGAACGTTGCCTTCGACATGGGAGTCAACTTTGTCAAGTCAGTGGTGCAGGACCATGTGTTCATCTCGCATGGTCACATCGATCACATCCAAGCGCTGCCGGCGCACGCTGCAGAGCGGCAGTTGACTGGCATGAAGCCCGCTACGTACTACATGCCTTCGCACCTCGTGCCACACATGGAGCAAATCATGATCAGCTATTCGAAGATGCAAGAAGTACGTGCAACGCTAAATGTGTCGTATGATCACGAGCATTGGTGGCTGTCTAGTCCGACATTGCAGCTGTTCTCGTCGGTGTGGACGCTGGTAGCATTGTGCATATATCGCCAAAGGTTGCCGTGAAGGCGTTCGCGACGGCGCATCGTGTGGCGAGTCTCGGCTACGTCGCGTACTCCATTTCGAAGACATTAAAGGGTGAGTTCGTGGGGTTGCCAGGGCGAGAGCTCGGAGCGCTCCGAAAGCAAAACGTCGTGCTGGAGGACATCACGTGGGTGCCGTCTGTCGCGTACACGGGGGACACTTGCATTGAATTCTTCGACCAACACGATCGATGCGCGGACTTTTTGCGCGCGGCCGTCCTCGTCACAGAGGTACCCATCTCATGCGTTCAAGCCCTAACTGTTTGTGCAAAGTGCACCTTTTTAGGCGACACGTCGGCCGAGTCGAAAGCGGATGAGACAGGCCACCTCCACCTGAACCAACTCGCACGTCGAATGCATCGCTTCGTCAACTCGTCGCTGGTGCTAACCCACTTTTCTGCCCGCTACAGCTTCCAGTACATCCAGGACACTCTGACCAGGCAACTGCTGCCGCCGCCGCATGATGCCAACGACGAGGTGGTTCGCCGCATCTTCATGGCGTATGGCGACCGCTGGGCCGCAGTGACCCGTCCTCCATCTCCACCTGCACCACCCGCCGTCGCCTCGGATAAACCGACCCAGTCATAATGGCACTTGTAATATTGACAGCATCTATTACACCTGTAGATAGCGCCCGTTGTACATATATGGCATGTATATAGCTAGCTAGCTAGCTAGCTCTCCATCTCGTGGGCAATTGTGTGGCTTCTAGTCTACCAGGATGGCTCGAATCTTCTCGACGAGGTCGTAGAGGTAGAGAGAGAGGGAGATAAGCAATAAGCACAAATATACATGCTTGTCATGCAGGTTCTGGTTGCATTTACTTGTTGGCGTCGTGGAGGAGTTGCTGCAGTTTGTCAGCAACGTCGGGGGACTCTAGGCGGATGCAGTACGTGGTGATCGAGGACGTTGTTGTCAGCACGGGCACGATGACGTTCTTGCCTTTGATCACAACGCTCGGGATGGACGTGAGCAGAGCGTTGAGCAGCAGCTGCGTACCAGCCTTGAAGTCGCTCGTGGCTCGACGCATGACGAGGCGGCCGCGCGTGGATTTGTCCTTGGGCTCCAGCACCTTGAGCGGACCAGCGCCGCACTCGACGTACTCCTTGTCCACCAACTTGAACAGCTTGGCCGTCGTCTTGAGATCACCGACGTGTGTAGTAAGCGTTCAAGGGAATAGGAGCGGTACTACTACTTACTTGAAGCAATACGAGCTCGTTTTCTTCGCCGGTCACGTGGTGGTAGTCCTTTGGCAGCTCCACCTTGGGCACCACGAGATGCTGGACTTCGACCTTGTCGGCCTGGATATGATCGATCAGAGGAAGAATCGTCGATACTACGTACTTCAGCATTTAAAAAGTCGGCGTTCGTGTCGTTCGCGTCGGTCCATGCGGACGCTTCGTCCGTGTTTGTCTTGTCGCCGCCAAAGGACGCCGCCGTGGACGACGACGTGCTGCCGAACCCGCTTGTACCGCTGGAACGTCCAAACCCGCCAGATCCAAACCCAAAGCCAGTCGACGAAGATGTCCCAAATCCACCGCCGGCAAAAGCGGCAAACCCTGTGGAAGAAGCAGCCGAAGTGGGCGCAACGGTCTGACCTTCATGTCAGAAAGATAATGCAAGGGATTTATACGAGGTACCTGGAATGGATTCGTGTTGGCAAATGCCGTAAAGCCAAACGACGATATGGCAGACGTCTAGTTGGAGAGATGGTTGTTGTATGTCATAAAGCAGGCAAGAGATAAGGAAGTACCTTGTCGCCAACGTCCGCCGAGGTGGTTTGCTCACGCGGACTCGAGTCTGTCGTCTTCGACGGACTCACCGGACGTTCCTCCACGTCTTCTTCGTCATGTTGCCCCCGATCGATCCCATCGTGACCTTCTGTGTTCACGCGGGGACGCTTGTTCAGCGGCGACTTCGCATGCGGAGACTTTCCTGGCGACGACGCGGCGCCCACAACGTTCATGGGGTCCAAAATTGAGGTCGAGTTTGTTGGCGATGGGATCCTGCCCTCCGATTGGTCAGTTCCTTCCATTGTTCATATATGCACCAACGTACTATTTTAAAATAACTTTATATTTGTATACAAATTTCACTGTTGGGATTAAAATTACCGCGCGGTTTATGGCGACATCGTGGGAAGGACGCATTCAGGTTCATTGAGATCCCCTGCTGCATGCATGTGTCTGTGTCTCCTGCTCCATGACATTCGGCTGAAGGAACCGATGATCTGACGGATGCTGACCATAGATCGATGTACCCGTTGACAAAGTGGAGGTTGAACCGATGTTGCCCCATTTGATGGTCTCGTGCGCCCAGCCGCAACGAGCTTTGCACTCGATGCAAGCTTCCATCGCTGACGTAAACTTGCGTGGCGTCACGTACATGCTGGACACGGTTGGATGAGTCGCCACGCTTGTGTACGGTCGAGCCACCTTGATCGTCGACGGATGGTGTGCTAGGGCTGTGTACGCTCTAGGGACGAGAATGCGATAATTGAGAGCTGGAGGGGGCAGGATCGTAGAACTGTCCGGAGGAGCTTGAGGAAGATGGTCGTTCAATGACTCGTTCTGTGGAGGCCACCGCATGGCACTTTCGTCCTAGTCGGTGGAATTAGCTCAAGTCTTTTTACTTGCTACGGTAGGAATCCAATTCCCCACCTCCCATTGCTCGTCGCCATCTGCATACTGTACGAAATACCCATGGGTCGTGTCATAGTGTCGAACGGCGCCTGTGAACCATTCCTTTTCATCTGGCCAATACACCTCCACGACGGAGCCCAGTGGAAATTTCACGAGTGCGTCTACAGGCTGTAGATGTGTAGCGATGTGGGTCGTCGTCGCTGCTTTGGACGGGCTAGTGCTGGTGGCAGCTTCGAACGACTCGTCTTCGTACGAACTCTCGTGGATCGCTGGCACCGCCAGTGGCTTTAGCGGTCGCGAAGGAGACCTGGAGCGACTGCGACGCATCGTGTTGTCGTCGGCATCCCCGATGGACTCTTCGTCTACAAACTCTTCGAACGACTCGCCATACTCGCTCATTCCGTCTTTTTTATCGGATCCCAGTAGGTACATTACGAAACCGACTTCGGTTTCAGTGCAGCAAAAGGGCTTGTGTGTTAAGAGAGAGAGTTACTCATGAAGGCGACTTCCTTGCAACAAGGCATGCATGGGCTGGTGTGCTTCACGAGATTGTTGTGTGAAGTCCGAGCGTTCATCCCAGCTTGAGCTGCCGCTATGTGTATCCACAGTCCAAATTAGCAACACTTCTGGATATTATATAGAGTGACTTTATCCGGATCAAGTTCGTTTTTGTGGCCGACGTGGTGAACTGCAAGCATGGCCAAAACCCCGGGAAGCGGCAAGGGGTCCAAGCTGTCAGCGCTTCGGAGTCATGGCAGTCCCAGCGCCAAGTTTGATAGCGACGCAGCGCTCATAGAGGAGATCAAGCGTCTGCAGCCACCTTCGCCACAGCCGACCCATTGGAGGCGATGGCTGGCCGCCGCGATCGCTTTCGTGGCAGTGCATGTTGCGCTCGTGGTTGTGCTTCTCCACGATGCTGACCCGGGGTACTTCTACTCGAGACGATATCCAAACATCGGCAACATCAATCTCGAGACAGACGCACCGTTCATGGGGTACCCTCCAATTGACGTCGTGTACACGTGGGTCAACGGGTCGGACCCGCGATGGAAGCGCGAGAAGGACCACTGGCATCGTCGATGGAAAGCCCAGATCCAAGGCGACATCTTTGACGAAACAGACGAGTCGGAGGTGTTTGACGCGTCCGCGGCGGCCACGGAGAACCGGTTTCGAGACAACGAGGAGCTGCGGTACTCCCTTCGGTCGATCGAAATGTACGCGCCGTGGGTGCGCCACGTGTACTTGGTCACGGATGGCCAGATCCCAAACTGGCTGAACGTCGATTCTCCTCGGCTGACCATCGTGCCCCACCGCAGCATCTTCGCCAACCAGTCGCATCTGCCCGTGTTCTCGTCCCCAGCGATCGAAGCCAACTTGGACAAGATCCCGGGGCTGTCGTCGCTCTTCTTGTACTTCAATGACGACGTATTTCTTGGCGCGCCCGTCACCCCCGAAGACTTTATCTCCCCTTCGGGGGTTCAAAACATCTACTTGTCGTGGGAAGTGCCAGAGTGCAGCAAGGGATGCCGCGAGTTCAACCTGGGCAACCAAATCTGCGACCCTTCGTGCAATACGACGGCCTGCGCGTTCGACATGGGTGACTGCGGCTGCCTTGAAGTGCCCACTTCGGTACGAAACCATCATCGACCAACGCTATATGAACGGTGTTGTTCCATGTAGGACCCCCTTGTGTTTGACGTGGTGTGTGCGCCTCCGTCGGCCTCGAACACCGCCGCCACCGACGTCTCGCCCGTGGCAGACACGGAACAACCAGTCAAGACGGCCAACCCGCTCAACTGCATGGCCGGGTGCTCGTGGACGTGGATCGGGGACGGAACCTGCGATGTGTTGTGCAATGTGACACAGTGCGGTTTTGACGCCGGCGACTGCTCGCTCAAGGCGCTCGAAGCCCTCCCGACACTCGACCTCACGACCAAAGCGCCAGGCACGACGTACGGCGTGCATGTACCGGGGGACGCGGACGCGTTGGTGGTGCGCCTGCCGCGGCCGTTCTTTGAGTTTGTCGACCACGCGACGTTGCTGGGGGACCAACTCGTTCGTCGTGCGGTGCTGCTCGAGCAAAACATGACGCTTGTGCTCGTGTTTGCCAGGGAGGACACCACCGGCACCCCCACAGGCGGCGCGGTGGTCTCCGTCGATGGCGAACTGGCGGACGAGTCAACGGCGCAGTGGACGCTGCATGTGCTGCGCGGCCACCACACACTCCCCCACCAAGGGATGTGGTCTGTACTGTCGTCCGACTTGGCGGAGCTGAAGATGACACGGCGCCTTCACCCGAACGCATCGACGCTGGTGGATCTGCAGATCGAGCTGCCGTACCACTCGATCCCGGATTGGTCCATGCCGATGACCGTCTCCAACAAGCTGGAGCCGTCCATGCCGACGAGCGTAGTGTGTCCTCCCATATTGCCTCCCGTGGCCGACGGTGGTTCATCCGATGAGGATGATGGTGCTACCGACGATGCTGCTGTAGACAGCGGGGAAGACGATGCGGCTGTCCGTTGCATGCTGGACGGTCGCCGGGTGGTGCTGCAGTGGCAATGGAATGCTTCTCTGGACGCCGGGGCATTTTTGAGTGGAGACATCTGCACAATCAATGCGCACGTCGAGTCGTGTGTGCACGCGGTGCTGTCGCTTCGAGGGGGAGTGACGTGGGTGCCGCCTACGCCCAAGCGCCGAGAGCCGGTTGTGTGGACTGGGGAATGGTGCGCGTTTGAAGACTGCGTGGTGTCCGACTGGTTTCAAGGGGCCATCGGGGGCGGGTTGGTCGGCCAATGCTCGGTGGTCGTGGAAACCGATGCTCTGGACGACGCGCCGCCGCCGCCAGGTCCGCCCGCGGTGGATCTGGAGGTGGCCAAGAAAGCCAAAGCCATGTGCTCGAGCATCGCAAGGCGTCTCAAGGCGCGTAGTAACGAGTCGACGTGGTGGGGACTGTCAAAGGTAAGACATTTGAAACGTGTGCTATTCGTATTTCGTTATCCATCGCACCGTTCGTAGGTTCGAGACGGATGGTTGGCGGTCAAGACGTGGCTTCATGTGAACACGGTCGAGGTCCTTGACACCCCTCGCCACCACATGCTGTCGACCGATGACGTGGCAGCCTGTGAGACGTACTTTGCGTCCCGCCCCGTGGAGCTGCCGACCGTTTCAGCCGACGCCGACGCCGTCACCTCCGTCGACACGTTTGGCGACTCGCTCCGGTTTGTTAACAAGCTGTACAATGCCCAGTTTGGCAAGGTGGACGGACCGGTCCGCCGGCGGGTGCCGTCGCACATGCCGCACTTTATTCAAAAGAGTCTGCTCACCGAGATGAAGGATCACTGGGCCGCTGAGTTCAATGCGACATCGAGCCACCGCTTCCGCCACCCAAAAGACATGCAATTCAGCTTCTCGTACATGTACTACGTGGTCAATAGGCACAAGTTGCACCCCCCGACCATCGACGACATCTTTTCCACGTACATTGACATCAACCGCGACGGCCTCATTGACGAGCACGAGGCGCTCAGTGTCGCGTCGCTGCTCACATCAGGTACACGAGTGTGTGTATTTGTGTATTGTGCTTTCGAGTGAAATTTCATTGTGTTGTGGTTTCTCGTTGGAATTTAAATCGATTTGATTGGCTACCTCAGATGAGCTCAACATTATTAGCCAATCAAAACCCATTTCTCAATGAAATTCAACAACCAATCAGATCGATTGTGGATCGGTTTGGTCGGCCCCCAAATTTGTATCAAATCGACAATAACTAGAACTTATTTGGGGTGTCAATTTTAAAAAACTGGATTGTGTGGCTTGATTTAGTGGATTGTGTGAGTGGTTAGCTATATTTCTTTAAAAAAATACTTTGAAGGACTATTTTATCCCTTATGTCCTAGATATTATTTGTTTTATGCTTGGACCAACATCTATTATGCCTGGACAATGTGTATGTGGCTTCAAAATTCTAAACCGACGATCTTTTTATCGATCTTATGCTTGCTTTGTAGTATTTAGTGGATTGTATATATCTTGATTTCAAAAAAATAATATATATATATATACTATGTTTTCCCTTATTTCTTTGATTATTTGTTTCTTGTGGTTAGACGAACATCCTTCAGAGAGCGATATTGCGTCCGTCAAGGCATGCATGACCCCGAGCACGACCGAAACCAAGCGCGAAGAGATCCATCGACATGGCATAGTGACGGTCACTGAAACCACCCAGCCACACTTGACACTCGACAGTCTCAAAGCATGTGACAACGTTACCCATCGGCTGATTGAGACTGCGACCAAGCGGTTGCCGCCCACACACGTCATGGTATCGGAAGACCAAGTACGTTTGTGTTGGCAAGGATTTATATATATATATATATATATATATATATATATTCAACGTCTCAGTGGTAGAAGTATTGATATGGATGGTGATTGTATTCTAGGTGACGTTTCACATGCTGAGCGACCAATATCGCACGGCGTGGAACCAACTGCTCAACACCCGCGCCAAGCGCACCAAGTTCATTTGCATCAACGACGACATGAAGTACCCGACCGTGGCGGTACGTCGAATCGTCCTATTAATACATATATATATATTTAATCGTATTTCGTAACAGGTGGGCAACATCTTGAACGACCTGTTCACGTCGTTGTGGCCGCATCGGTCGCAGTTTGAGCTGCCATATCATTTGAAGAATCGATTTGGCCACGTGGACGAGCTCGCGTGGGCCGTCTGGACGCAGTACATTGTGATGGGGGCTGTTGGTACCCTGGTTGCTGTGGCAGTTGCCGCGTGCTTCTGGTGGGAACAGAAGAGGCCACTTGACAAGACACTGGATGAAGACAAACACAATGAGGATCACATGTGATGCCCCACCACCGCGATATTTTACTTACTCCATTTAACTCAAATGTTCTAGCACCGTGTACTTGGAAATGGATGGTGGTTGCATTCATGTATCAATAATAGTAAATAGTACTATTGATAGTATACAGCAAGGTTATAGTAAATATTAATAGTATTAATAGTAGTATACAGTACTATTATAGTAGTATACAGCAAGGTTATGAGTTTGAAGGATTCGTTAAAGGCAAGGATGGACAACCTTCATTTGCCTCTTGGTCTCGTTTACCGATGATGGTCCGTGCTGGGAAAACGAAATTATTATTGACTGTGAATAGAAATAAGTACGAAGTACATTATTGCAACATACGTCCAAGTATTTGTAATATATTTCACGTAACGTTATTGATTAAACAGTCGATTATTATTGATCGTCATGTTGTGCTCACGTTTGCATATGGCGGCTGCTTCGGCACCATTTCGTCGTTTCTGACAGTCATGTACGGCGTATACATCACTGATACAATGCAATGCTGACGTACATATTGGTCGCTCTGTGGAGGCCTCACCTTCACATTCGAGTGTCGTGTCGATTTTAGTGTTAACTACATGTATACGAAATCTCAACTGTTAATATACTGTGTAAATGTATTCTTCATTAAGACTGATAGTACGCCCAATACTACTGTGTAGTAGTGTACACTTGCTGAAAGTAGCAAAATATTATTTGTGGCGAGGTATTGCCACATACTATAAGTTAGTATTGCAGATCCGCATATGGGACTCAATCGTCAACAACATGGACGCTGCCATCGAGACAGGTGTGATCCACTTTGATGCTGACGCATACATCTGCACCGCATCGGTACGTCTAGACGCTAGACGACATAGCGAAGACTGACAGACGACATGATTCCGTCATCCACCAGGGCAACAAGATATGCCGGGATTCCACGCTCTGCTGCACCAAGAATATTCTCCTGCGAGGCAAGACGATCATCAACGCAGGCACGATCCTGCGCGGCGACTTGGCCAAGATATCTTTGGGCAAGTTCTGTGTGATTCGAGAGAAGTGCGTGCTTAAACCTCCGCCAAAGCTCCTCCCCACGTATGTACATCATCAGTCTGTGGCATGGAATGTTCATGCGATGATGTAGGGGACTCTTGTTCATTCCACAAACGCTGGGGGATCACGTGTACATTGGCGAAGGGTCCATTGTAGAAGGGGCTCGCATTGGTTCGTGCGTGCAAATCGGCAAGAACTGCGTGATTGTACGACAACATGAGTCCCCACTTGTGACGCTCACGCCGGTAGTGGTGCCGTAGGGAAAGCGAGTGATCATTCGCGACTGCTGCTACATCGCCGACAACACGATCATTCCTGCAGACGAAATCATTCCCCCCTTTACTTATGTATGTGGGATTCCAGGTACGCACCAGCCAAATCCGACGGACTTGTGGCGCTAACTATCCCCCAGCAAACTTGGACAAGGAGCTTCCCGAGGCAACGCAAGACCTGTTTATTGGCCACATCACGCGCTACTTTGAAAACTTTAGAGCTCGCAAGAAATAAGCTGACAATGTACATATATACTGGTATTAATTACTTCAGTACTACAGTACTATATACTATTAATAGTACTTCGTAGTACTAATATTGTGGTAGTATATTCGGTACGAACCGTCGAATCGAATAAAAAATCGACGCTATTGGCTACTCCATTTTTGAGTGGATTTGATTGGCTCTTATACAGAAAGAACTGGCATAGTCAGCCAATCAGAACTTCCAGCGTGATTCAATATTGATTACATAAACCACGCGAAGTTTGGAAATAATATATAGCGAATTTACAATATAGGTTTTGATATTCGTACCAACCAGCACGCCAATAAAAAAAGTACCCTAGTATGAGCTTAGTGTGAAGCTTACGGCTGTAACTACCGCTAAGCAGTCAATCACACTGCGGTGAGGTTATGACGTTGATTGGCTGCGAGGTTTACATACTACTGTAGTACTAACTATTACGTAGTACCGGTAACTAAATAGAACTGCCTTTCAATTTTCTAAATATAGCGACATCGTCGAGGTCGCGCGGGTATGTTCCTGGACGAGGCCTCACGCATGCAGAACTTTCGCCAAGTAGGCACGAAAGCGTCTGGCCAGTTGAAGAAAGGCGCGGGTATCTCGAGGCAGCAATCCTCGGAAGCGGCGGTAGACTCCATGTTCGGTCTTGTTGCAATTGGTGTCGCCTCATGCAACGAAGTAGAGGGCCACATCATCGATCCCATCCAAGTTTGAGACAATTTTGAACTTGGGGGAACGTGAAACCAATGCCTTTGGTAGTCGCACCAACAGGTTTGGGGAGGCAGAGGTACGAGGAGACGACAGTTTGATGACGAACGAGCTGACGGACTGCAGAACGAGCTCCCAGGCCCGGGCGCGTACTACAAGCCGCCATCGATGGTGGTCACCCACGCCAAGTCGGGGTCCGTGTCCAAGAAAGGCATGGGTACGGGATTCGTGTCCAAGGTAACGGCATCGACTGCATCCATCCTCACGAGCGAAACGTCATGCGCGATGCGTGACAGGTGAAGCGTTTCAACGCTACCAGCTACGACCCTGTGCCAGGACCTGGTCAATACTCTGCCTCCATGTACATACACTTACCAATGCACATTGGGTGCAGACAGTGTGGTTCACTAGTCTGTAGATCGGAGAAACCAAGCTTTAACCGGCGCATCGGGCTCAGCAGTTTTGCACCCATGGTACAGTTGTCCAAGTGTGCCTGTTGGTTCTGATGATAAGGGTATTCACCCAGGAGCGGTCGACAAACCAATATGGGGACGCTACCAGCGTGCCCGGGCCTGGTGAATACAACGCAAGTGCATTTGACGCGCAAGTTGACAAAGGCAGTCGGTCCGCGTTTGCCTCCCGAACGAATCGCGGTTTTGTGCCGCGGGCGGATGGACCTGCGCCAGGTAGAAGAACGCCATCCATCCATTCTGTCGTCGGTTGGTGGGTGGGGTTATGAGCAAAGTATCCGTGGCTAGGGCAATATGAAAACGTGTTGGCGCTGGAGCGAGAGATCACTCGAAGCCAAAAACACACACAGGGAATCTTCAAGTCCACGGTGCGACGGGTGGAGACGCCCAAGCAGGCCGTTCCTGGTACAGCTGGCGGCTTCCATATTAACTCTACTCGATTTTACCAATGACGTAGGACCGGGGGCGTACGGAGTGGAAGCGGCGGAGCGGTGCCTACGGAGCGACACCACTGCACAAGCCCAGGCCAGCAGCATGTTCAAGAGGGGCGCCGCAGATCGCTTCGGCCACTCGCTCGAGCGAAAAGCGGACGTGTTCAACGTCCCTGGTACTTGATTATGCTCGTACTTGCGATCCGCACTCAACCTGAATGACCGCAGGCCCGGGGGCGTATACCTCCGACCGCGATGGGGCCGCCACGTCGTCGACAGCAGTGTCGTCATCGGTGTTTAAATCTAGCGTGAAACGAGCCCTGGGCGAGCGAACGTCGAAGGCCCCTGGTCCAGGTAGGCACAATACAGTACTACCCCCACCCAATCACGAGGGATGTGACCTTGTGCTTAGCGTTTTATAAGCCCAGCAGCCCCGGGAAAAAGTCTCACTTGCTCAACGGCACCAAGAAGTGGCTTTAACATAATTTACGACCGATTAGTTAGCTTCACCAACGTCACACCTGCAAGCTTTGTCGGTGAGCAACCCGAATGAGTATACGTACATACTAACGGTAGTACACTTTTAGAAGGGCTGTGGCTAGCTACTAGTAGTTGCACTTAGTGTACTGTATGTGTCGCTTTCAGGAGGACTGGCTACACTTACACTCGGCTGGCAAATGGACACGAGACTGCGTTCGAACTATACGTTCGTTACCAAGGGTCCCACGATACAGTCTCAATAGTCGACGAGAAAACTTGCACCAACCCCAAGATGTCTTACCATTATTTGATTGCAGTCTCGATCGCTGGTTCTAATCTGTAACGAACAAACACTATTGAAAATGAATGTACATACATTTTTGATATATTGAGGAGTTCTCAAATAGGGTAATTTACTAGAATTCTATTGCCCATATGTTGAGACCGGAGTGCCCCTACGAAACCCACACCCGTGCTCACGTTGCGCCACGTGCGTTTGAAAAACCCTAAATAAAGGAATTACCTACCCAAACCCATGTCGTACAAATTGTGGTGGTTATCATGTCCAGCAAGAATGTTAGTCTGTCGCAGTCCCCGTGGCCTCTTGGAGGTGTTCCATCCTATTCGAATCGTGTCCAGTGATGAATGATTGCATTACCGGTAGTTAAGATAGCACATTCACTATGTATGACCAAGCACTTTGATTTTCGTGGCAATCTGTCAGCTCCGGTGAGGCCACTCACTCCTCACAGCCGACAGTGACGTTCGTCATAGTTGGTCATTCCGATAGCGTGATCGGTGTGACAGGGATAAGGTAGGGTGCCAGGCTGCATACAACCAAAAGTACTTTAACCTAGTCGTTAAAACGATCGCGTGGCTGAATTTCATTCAAGCAAGCAACGACGTTATTTAGTAAAAACGTTTCACGTCGCTCAGAAACCCGATGAAGATTTGCACACATCGAATAAGATTTGAAATGGTGCAATTTCCTTTATTTAGGGTATTTGACAGGCTACCGTCGAAGTAAATGTCCAAACTTCGACGAAGTTTCCACCGGCCCAATACAAACTTCAAGTATATACGCCACATGGTCAGACAATCTTCAGCAGGCAACGCACACTTTCAAAAATGAGCGCTGGCTCCGACATCCAAGGCGCGCCCTTGATGGAGAAGCAAGTGCTGCCGCCCATGCGGCGAGGGTACACGTCCACCCTGCTGTGGAAGAACTTCTTGCTCAAGAAGAAACACCCGATCAAGTGGGCGCTTGAGGTCCTCCTCCCCGTTGCGCTCATCTTGCTTATGGGCGGCCTCAAGACCCTAACAGACGACGTGAAGGTCCCCGATGGCTGGTCCACCGACAAACCTATTGAGGGCAGTGACACCATCGGCACGAGCTACTCTCTGTTCCATGTCGACACTATGTTTGGAGTGCCGCTCCCGAAGTTCTACCAAACGGAAGGCACAGTGTCCGGTCTGTTGCTTCAAATGGCTACCAAGGCATGGGACGCACGCCAAGATTCCAAGGGCATGACGGCCGCCCAGAACGAAGCTTGCTCTGCCGCCGCATACTCGGGCAACGTGAACGCCGACGTCAACTCCCCGTCCGCATGGCCGGCGATCTGTCGCGACAACATCATCCCTCAAAAGCTCGCGATCGCACCCGACAACGACTTTACGCGCAAGTACTTTCTCGAGACGCTGAGTTTGTGGTACCCCCGCGTTTCACTCGATGCGAACGGCACGTTGGCAGTGCCGTCGATCGCCGATTCCGTCCAGTTTTTCGCCGACGAAACGGCGTTGAATGCGTACGTTACCAACGTCGAGTACGCCAAGAGCTTCTCGACACCCCGCATTGCCGCCGCCATCGTGTTCACGGCCATGCCATCACCCTTGGGTTCCGCGGGCAACATCGAGTATAGCATCCGCCTAAACTCGACGCTCGGGCGCGGCGGGGTCACGGGCGACGTCCCGCGCACCAACCTAGAGCCGTTTCTACCTCTGCAGCGCTCGATCAACACAGACTCCTACACGCGGTACGCCAAGTCGGGCTTCATGTCTTACCAGACGCTCGTGACGCGGTTCGCCCTGTGCGTGCCGGACTGGAACGCCGACACGCGGACCACTACGGGCACATGCACGCAGGAGACGGCGGTGATGGCCGCCGGCAATGCGATGACGGACGCCACGCTAGTGTCGACGCAGCTCCAGGCCGACTTGAACGTGTTCTTGTCAATCATGTCGTACACGAACGCGACCAAGAAGCCATTCAACTTGAACAGCGTGCCATTGGCGGCGCTGTCGGCCCTGGCCAAACCGCTGCGCCAGATGCCGCAGCCCGTCGGCGGCGCGTCCGTGTTTGCATTCCCCATCCAAGCGTTCACGTCGTCGCCGTTCTATCAATCGGTCAAGGACTTCTTTGGCCTCGTGTTCGTGCTGTCGTACCTGCACGCGCTGTCGTCGGTGCTCGTAGCGCTCATCTCGGAGAAAGAGACCAAGGCCCGCGAACTCATGAAGATCCTCGGCGTGCCTGAAAGCGCGATCGTGTTGAGCTGGTACATCACGTACGGCGCCATCTTCGTCGTGGCGGCCGTCCTTCAAGCCGTCGTGGGCAAGGTTGTGCTCTTCCCCAACTCGAACGTGCTGTTGTTGCTTGTGTTCTTCCTGCTCTTTGGATGGGCCGTGCTCGCGTACGGGTACATGGTGTCCGCCATCTTTTCAAAATCCCGCACGGGGACGTACATTGGCATGATCGGCTTCTTCGCCATGTACCTCGTCACCGCCGGCTTTAACGACACGTCCGCCGCCAAGTCCAAGGCCATCGCGTGTCTGTTTGCGCCCGCGGCGCTCACGTTTGGCGTCAAGAGCTTGGCCGAGTCGGAAGCCAGCGGCATCGGCATCACATCGGCCAACGCGGGCAGCGACATCAACAACTTCAAGTTTACGACTGCGATCTTGTTTTTGGTCGTTGATGTCATCATGTATACGCTCCTGGGGCTGTACTTTGAGCGTGTGGTGCCAAAGGACTATGGGGTGACTGAGACGTGGTACTTTGCTGTGACACCGTCATACTGGAGAAAGAAATGGACGAAGGAAACGGCCAAGGCAGTGTCGGCGGACGCGCTCGCCGTAGCTCTCGACGTGCACAGCGACAACATGGAAGACGTAGGCATCGAGCTCAAGCAGCAAGAAACGTCGGGCGACGCCTTTTGCATTCAAAACTTGCGCAAAGTGTTTGCCGTGCCTGGTGGAGTAAAGGTCGCGGTGAAAGGCATCAACTTGACCATGTACAAGAACCAAATCACGTGCTTATTGGGGCACAACGGCGCCGGCAAGACAACGCTGATCTCCATGTTGACGGGTATGATTCCAGCGACGAGCGGCGACGCCACGGTCCACGGCCTGTCGCTGCATGACGACTTGGGCCAACTTCGCCGGTCGCTCGGCATGTGTCCGCAGCACGACGTGCTGTACGCCGAGCTGACGGTACACGACCACTTGATGTTTTACGGCAAGATCAAGGGGTACCGGGGCCATGCCCTCGACGCTCAAGTAGACGCCAAGATCGTCGAAGTGGGGCTGACGGAGAAGCGTCACGTCAGGACCAGCGACTTGTCGGGCGGGATGAAGCGCAAGTTGAGTCTAGCGATTGCGTTGCTGGGCGACAGTCAGGTGGTATTTCTAGACGAGCCGACGTCTGGCATGGACCCGTACAGCCGTCGCAGCAGTTGGGAAATCATCCTCAACAACCGATACAACCGCATCATCGTGTTGACCACGCACTTTATGGACGAAGCCGACATCTTGGGCGACCGCATTGCCATCATGGCGGAAGGGGAGCTGCGATGCTGTGGGTCGTCCATGTTCCTCAAGAATAGGTACGGCGCCGGCTACAACTTTTCGCTCGTCAAGATGGACGACTGCGACACGGATGCGCTGATCGCGTTTGTGCAGCGTCACATTGGCGACGCCACCAAGGTACTAAGCAACGTGGGCACGGAGATCTCGTTCCAGCTCCCATTAGACTGCTCGCATTTGTTTGCGCCTATGTTTGTCGAGCTGGACGCCAACTTGGCTCGTTTGGGTGTGCTCTCGTACGGCATTTCTGTGACAACGTTGGAAGAAGTGTTCATCAAGGTTGCGGAGATTGGCGACGAGCACCACCAGCACACGCTGCAGAAGACGAAGCAAGTCCCCATGACAGTAACATCCAATGACGGGTCGTCGTCGGAAGGGTACAAGCTAGCCGACAACGCGCCCCCGTCGGCGCTCGCCATGTTCTGGGTCCACTTTCACGCGCTCTTGCTCAAGCGCGTGCGCACCGCCAAGCGGGACAAGCGCGTGGTCGTGTTCGGAACGGTGCTGCCCATCGTATTTCTCGTGCTTGGTATTGCGCTGTTGAAAGCGAGCTCGCTGACCCGCAACGACCCGCCGCTGGTCCTCAACACGGCGGCGTATCCTCTCAAAGACAGCACGCCCGTGCCGTACTTGTGCCAATCCGACTGGATGTGCGACACTGCGTCGCAGATCTCGTCCGCCAAGCCCCAGCCGTTCGTCGGTATTAACACGCAAAACGATGCGGCGGCGTACCCGGCTACCCCACCCCCCGTCGTGTTTGGCGTGACATATGCCAACCTGACAACCGCCAACAGCTACTGCGTCCGCGCCGGCGAAGAAATCTTCAAGCGCGGCTACGGCAAAGCCCCAAATAATGCGGCGGTGCCCGGGCAGTACGGCGGGTACGTGCTGCTGGGCGACGCCAAGTCGAGGTCGTTCGGGTACAACTTGGCCGTCAATACCACCGCAGTCCACGCCGCCATCGTACACAAGGCTCTCTTGGACGAAGCGCTGTACCGCACTGTCACGGCGAACCCAGCCTTGAAGCTGACGTGTACCAACCAGCCGCTGCCGCTCACCGACTCGACCAAGATCCTGTTTACGACCATCGTGTCATTCACCACGTCAGTGTTTGTCGTGCTCGCATTTGCGTACTTTACGGCGTCCATCGTGCCCTATTTGGTTCACGAGAAGCACCCGACGCACAACTCCAAGCACCAGCAGTTGGTCAGCGGCGTGAGTTTGCCGGCGTTCTGGCTCGCCAACTTTGCGTGGGACTTGCTCTTGTACTCGGTGCCGTGTGTATTTGGGCTGCTCGCCATCTACTTCTTCGACATTACGCCATTCACAGGTCGCGACTGCTCGTCCTGCGCGGCGTCGCCATTTGCCGCGCTCATCGTGGTATTTGTGCTGTTTGGGTTTGCCATCGTATCGTTCTGTTACCTCCTTTCGTACTTGTTTACAGACGCCGCGTCGTCTCAGACGTACATTATCATGATCAACGTTCTTCTCGGCACGATCTTGATGACAACATCCGTGATCCTCGACATCATCGAGTCCACCAAAGAGATCAACGCGCACCTCAAGTTCATCTGGCGCCTCTCGCCGCTGTTTTGCGTGGGCAACAGTCTCAACCAGCTCAGCATTGCCACGCTGCGGCTTTCGATTGGCGTGCTCAAGAAGGACACGTCGGCATTTAGCACTGACATCCTCGGGTGGGAAGTCGGGTACTTGGCCGTGGAGGCTGTGTTGTTCCCCATCATCGCCATCGGCATCGACTACGCCTTGAGCTTTCCCAAGATCAAGGCTAAGATCACGAAGGACCCGCAGGTTGTTGACGCACCGTACGAAGTGGACGTCGACGTCCAAGCCGAGGAGGACCGCGTGGCCTGCGGGGCAGCCGACAAGGACGCGGTCGTGATGAACGGTCTGCGCAAGGTGTACAAGGGCGGCAAAGTGGGCGTGGTCAGCCTGTCGCTGGGGCTCCCGAAAGGCGAGTGCTTCGGCTACCTCGGGATCAACGGCGCCGGCAAGACGTCCACGATGAAGATCCTCACGGGGGACGTGCTGCCAACGTCTGGCTCGGCAACCCTCGGGGGGTTTGACATCATGTCACAGCAGCTCGAAGTGCGTCGGCTGATCGGGTACTGCCCACAGTTTGACGCACTAATCGACCTGCTGACCGTTCGTGAACACTTGGAACTGTTTGCGTCCATCAAGGGCGTGCCATCCAAACGCATCTGCGACACGGTCAAGGACAAAATGGACCAGATGAACTTGAACGACTTTGAGCACAAGTTGGCTGGGACGCTGAGCGGCGGCAACAAGCGCAAGCTGTCGGTGGCGATCGCTCTGATTGGGTCGCCCCCGATCATCTTCTTGGACGAACCATCCACGGGCATGGACCCCGTGTCCCGTCGGTTCATGTGGGATGTCATTGCCGACATTTCCACGCGCAGCAAAGAGTCGACGATTCTGCTGACCACGCACAGCATGGAGGAGTGCGAGGCGCTGTGCAGCCGCGTCGGCATCATGGTGGGTGGCCGGCTGCGATGTGTGGGAAGCGTCCAGCATCTGAAGAACCGCTTTGGCGATGGACTGATGATGCACATCAAGTTGGCGGCCGTGCTGTCTGCCGACGTGGACCGCATGATCAGTACGTCGCCTTCGCTGGAAGGAGGGGCCACGTTAACCAAGGACCAGCTGGTGGACGTGTGTGCGTCGTTGGCCAAACCCCACCGCGCCGACCAGATCAGCATGGAGCATGCGACGGGGTATGTGCTGGCGGAATCGCTCGGCCGCAACGACTACGTCCGCGTGCGGGACTTTTGCGCGTGGTGGCTCAGTGAAGACCGCTTTGAAAAGATGGCGGCGTACCTGGGCCAGAGCTTTGGGGAGCCGAATGTGCTGCTGTTGGAGCGCCAGAACGACCTGTCGCGGTTCAAGTTGGTCGGTGACAAGCACACGCTGGCGCTGTCCAACGTGTTTTCGCTCATCGAATCGACCAAAACCGACTTGCACGTCAAGGAGTACACCGTGTCGCAGACCACCCTCGAGCAAATCTTCAACAACTTTGCGTCCCAGCAAACCCAAGAAATGGGCGTCGCGCGGGGCGTGGAAAAGGCAGCAGCGGGCGACCACTACCGAGCGATGCATGCTTAGCCTACTAACTACTACATACTACTTATATACCACTACTAACTACTACGTAGTACGATTAGTATACCAGTACTCTATATGAAATTAATTATAAGTATTGTGCTTTCGAGTGAAATTTCGTGTTGTGGTGTGGTTTCTCGTTGGAATTTAAATCGATCTGATTGGCTACCTCAGATGAGCGCAAAATTATTAGCCAATATAAATGAAATTCAACCAATCAGATCGATTGTGGATCGCTTTGGTTGGCGCGATTCGATTGCACCCCCTCCCCAAATGTTTGATCCGTGTATTGTGAGAGTTCAGTTTTTATCTTCATAAAATATGCAAATTCACTGTCAACGTCCGAACATAGTAACTTTGCACTTTCTGTCCTTATTCTGTCGACCATCTGTGGGACCATTCTGAACTGATGACGATGGTCAGCAATTTCGGCCACCAAGTGGTTCACTGCGACGCACTTGGGCTTGCTTTGACATTTCGTCCTCTTCAAGATACAATTACATGTAGATTCATTCATCGCATATCCATTGCATCAAAGTGATTGCCCTTGTGGACTACTTTGCAGGTCATTTCTGACTCCAACAATTTCATACGAACATCCCACCATTTAGGGTGTAATTCGGACACTATATATATGTGAAGTCGTGACATTCTTTAGAAAAGGCAAGATACAAATTGTAACTACTCGAAATTGTATTGCTATAGTTTGACATTTCATATACTAGTACTGTACTAGTACTACTTGACAATGAGCGTAACGTTATGCACAATATGTACTGTAGTCGGCAGTAGTACACCAAAACGTTTCAGTGCAAGTGTTGTAGCACTTGCGTTTTGTATACAAAACACACCTTCGCATGTCGGACTGACCACGTTCCAGTAGTAGAGGTCAGCCCATTAAGATAGCACAAGACGATGGCGTTGGCAACATTGCCCAGGGTGCTTGGCATGCTCGTCGCCGCCTTGCTGGTGTCCACGGCGAGCGAAGCGAGTGCCTCCGATTGCCTCAACATGGACAAGCTTCCGAGCGTGGCCCTCGGCTCGTCGGGGGCGTATACACTGCAGAGTCGAGTGGAACGGGGTGGGTCGTTGCTGTGTCTAAAGGCGACGTTCACGGGCACCACCTCGTGGCTTGGGGTCGGCATCGCTCGTTCAAATTTGATGGTGTCGACGATCGGTGGTCCCGCCAACGTGCTGGTGTTTGATGCCGCGAAAATGACTGCCAACACGTACGTCGTGAACGGCAAAGGCGTGGCCAAAGTGAACATGCAAAGCTACCAGTCGTCGTATACTGTCATCGACATGACGTCGCGGGACTCGCTCACGTCGGTTACAGTGTCGCGGGCCATGTCTGTGAATGAGTCCCACGTGTATGATGTGGCCATCGCCGTCGATGCCCCGACGAACGTCATTTGGGCCTACGGGGCCAAGTGGCCAGGGAAACATGTCGACAAAGGTATGCCCATATCGCGTCGAACCATCCATGGCTACCTAGTGGCATGTAGGCGCGATGCTCTTAGCCTTTTCAGACACGAAAGACACGCGGAATGTCGGGTCCACGTCCAGCTACGTGGTCATTCTCGGCACCATCGTCGCCTCGATGGCTACGGCCTCGCTCGCGCTTCGCTTTTCCTTCAGTAAAGCACACCATCTGTTCGAAACAACAACGTAATAATTGCCGATTAGAACGGCTGGACCACAAGCTCGTGCCGCCACCAAGGGAAGCTAGCTCCGGCTGTTTTGCCATTCAACGCACGCTGAGCGACTTGTCCGTGGGAGAAGGCATCCTCGTCCTGCTGTACCTCACTGGTCTGGTGCTGGTGCTGGCCCTGCTGCCGTTTTACGAGGCCAACGTCGTAGCGTTCGACCGCCAAGTGTCGTTAGCCAGTGGCCACCTGGGTCTGTTTCATCTGTCACTCCTGATAGTCCCCGTGTCCCATGTCGGGTGGTGGCTCAATCTGGCCCAGTCGCGCCTCCTCAAGTTCCACAAAGCCCTCAGCGTCGTCTTCCTTTTGTGTGGGGGGCTGCATCTGGCCTTCAGTATCAAGGCATATGGCGCCGGCATTGTCTGGTACCGCGATCCGTTTGGCAGCCAACGAGTCGTCCCCCTCTTTGGCTTTGTGGCCCTCGGATGCTTTCTCTGCGTGGGTACGTAGTATCGTTCATCCGTGAACGTTGGTGATCGATTGGAATGCTGACATGTGTGCACATACATGATCGATCGTTGCCAGGTGTCGTGGCCATCCCCATCATCCGACTCAATTTGTACGAACTGTTCCTGGCCATCCATCGAGTGCTGTTTGTGGCTGGCATTGTCTTGGTGTATCTCCACAGCCGCACGATTCAAATCGCTCTCATTTGCCCGCTTGTGATCTACGGCATTGGTGGCATCTTCGTGCGCCTTCCGCCCTTCTTCAAAACGTACACCACCCCACCCCCCATTGTCCGATCTATGGTTGACCTGCACCTAGGTACACCGTCACAACGGCGATCACCACCTCCCACACGACCATGCTCACGCTGCCATTGACCAAACACACTCAGCGATGGGTGACGCAGTACCGCTTGTGTTCCCACGCCTATGTCAACGTACCAGCCATCTCGGCCACGGCATGGCATCCGTTCACGGTCATGATCACACCTGCCCGCGACGGCATTGCATTTTGCATCAAATCAGTGAAACCCCACAGCTTCACCCACAAACTGCACGTGTTGTCGCACCTGCATGACCACTTGAATGTGAAATTGGCCGGACCGTACGGCCAGCCCACCGTGGACTTGACCAAGTACCAGCAAGTGGTGCTCGTGGGCGGTGGCATCGGAGTCACCCCCCTCCTTGGGGCGATCAACTTCCTCGACAGCCATGCCCACGTGAAAATGCACTTGTGCTGGGTGGTATGTCACATCTTGCCTGTCACATGTGCGACGACGATTTTGAACTAGGTGCGACACCCGGACGAGCTACTGAGTTGCCAGACCATGATGTTCCCATTACCCCACTTTGTCACGGCCGAATTTTACGTTAGTTTAGCGATTTCCGAAGGCCAGATCGAAACCGACCGTGGCGACGTCGTGAGGTATTCCCCCGGACGCCCCACCGCCGACGCTATCCTGCAGAGGTTCCAGAACATCCCGCGCACAGTCGTCCTCGCGTGTGGCCCCGAAGGCATGATCGTGGACGCCCAGCGCGAAGCATATGACCGCGGATTTGACTTTCAAAAAGTCGTGTTTGCGTTTTAACAAGTCAAAATGAATGTAGTAAGTAGTTTTCTGGACAAGACAAGATTGCTCCAGTATTATGGATGCACTGTGCAGTACATACATTTGGCGAAACATGACCCATAGGACGACAAATGGTGACCGTGGTTGTACACTGGGATTTACTTCGAAGTAGATCACTTGCACAATACTGCTTGACTCCAATTACACTCCGAGTACGTACTAGTGCTATATTTAGTACTGTATATGCCAGATGATATCAGTCTCGTTTCCGTGGCCATTTGGCCAATCACTCCTCCACGCGTGGCAGTGCCGGCAGTCGCGAGAGTTATTGCGTGGTGGTCGCTGTAACTTGACTGCTTCCACCCACTGCATGGTCTCGGACAAGTGAATGGTAGCGTGGACATGCATCCCCTTGACCACTTGCAGTCAACAAAGTCTGGGATTGAAAGTACACTCGACCAAGGAGTTGAGCCCGGTGGTGGCAACCCACTCGATCGCCATATCGGTGCATCCTTTGCTTCGGTTGGAGTAAAGACAGTGGACAACTTCCAAATGGCCACGAGAAGCCACCCGATCGATCGCAGAGGTCGAACAGCTGACTCCACACTTGTGAAAGTTTATCAGGAGTGCCAGATGGCCACGCCGTCCATGGCCTCCACCAACGACGGACACGCCATTTCGAGCAAATATTTCACCACAGCCAAATGTCCATTCGTCGATTGCACAATCCACAACTTGCCCATCTGGATTGACATCGGACCAATGGAGCTTCAGCCACCGCATATGACTGTGGCGTGCCCATTCAGCAGCGCACAACAGTAAGACTTCATGGTAATTGGCAGCCTTTGGATCATAAGCACCAATCTCCACTCGAAGGCCCGTCCTCGATTGTTGGTGGATGCCCGTCCGCGTCGTGGTGGTCCACCTGGCCTCGCTATGGATGCGCCACTTTAGTGACACGTGTGGTAATCTCATAACATTTAACAAAGACCCCTATATATTACAAGTTGCCATAGTTGGAACTCATATACGATATATGGCTTATACATGCATTGGGGCCACAATCTTCTTGCTTGTAGCAGTGCATGTCGAAGCTTGTCATAGGTATTCAGTGTACTACAGTATGCCTGACATATGCACCACCATTCCTTTCGCATTTGATATCATCTACAAGTCAACTAATACGGTCTGCGCGAGGTTAGGTTCCGGCGAGGTTGTTCCAGACAAATGTCAATGCGAGCATGAACGTCCCAAGTGAAAAGCACCGGTCTTCTGGATAAGTTTAGTTTCATTGGTGGGGCAATGACGACATATGTCAGAGCTACCACATGGAATATATCACTTTGATAGGGTATCCATCAACGCGTTGTGCCAGGCAAGCTGATTTCGGATCTAACAGTCTGTCGCCTTTGCGAAACAATAAATTCGTGTTCTGAGAGATTACTTTCGTCCGCCGAACCAAACTCACTCATGATGCATCACCACCGCCCAAATGCTCAAGCGCGACATATATCGCCGGCATAATCACCCCTTCAATGATAGCGTTACCATCCAAAGCCGATTTTTGCGAATGTGTGTCGGCAATACATATACACTATACGGTACCGTAATGGTATAAAGGACAGAATATTAGTGTGCATGTCAGCAGTTCCCACGTTAAAACGTAGATCAAGGTTTGCTTGAGTTCCACACCATTTGTTTCTACGATAACGACTACTCCAAGCAAAGGTGTTACATGTTAGACATTAGAATAGAAATGTGCACAACAACTACATATCGCTCAAGCTAAATATCGCTCAAGCGTTCGCCTGGACAAGGAGGAGTGCCAGGGTGCTGTTTTGCTGCCTCTGGTAAACCCTGAAGTCTGTGTCACGACCACCTGAAGATAGAATCCATTGCTGATCACGCATGCACTTCAAGCAACAAATTTTCAATAACGTTACGTCGTTCATGGCGTTACGAATCGCCCAACCCAATTGATAGGGTTCGCAGTAACTATACGTATAATACTGCCGTGTCCACTCAACTTGTTCTGGTTCGCAGTGCCAATTCAGTGTACCCTAAAATCGGACAATTGCAGAGACGCCAGGCAGGCTTGGAGTCCTCCTTCCATTGTAATTCTTCCAGCCACATATGACACGCCTATATGTGAGCGTTGTTTCAGTGAAGCAGAGATACGTTCTTTAGTACATCTACAAGTAGCAAGCCCACGTTCGCTTGTCTGTTCGGAACAGCACTATTCGATACATCCGAAAAGGCCCTACCACCTTGGAACACAAGATTCCTCCGTCGATGCAGAAGCCGTGGAATACTGTATATACTTGAGGTACTCGTAGAGAGTGCGAGTCCCATTGGTCGCAATGTCAAACCCTGCGATCGGAGTTGCCAACTATGCGCTGCACGGTAACTTATAAACATGTTGGTTACTCCCAAGGGAGATGGCGATAGGTGCGATGATGGGAAGAATGGCGGAGATGTCCGAAACAGGCACATTTTTACTGGACAAAAGAGACTTCATCTACATATGCACGTACTACCTGTTGTAGCTGGACTAGCAGGACGACTCATGCTTTTAGCATGGACCTCTCTTTGGCTACTAACAAGGTGTTACCCCCCACAGACTGGCTGGCTACTTGGAGAAAGCGGAGAAGCACGCGGCGGCGGTTTCAGTTTCTACCAATCACAATCGAGCATCCTTTCGAAAGTGTGCCGATCTTACAGATTGTATACCGTAACCTATATCTTCAACGAGACAGACGAAAGGGATTACTTTTACACGATATAGAACAATCAAGTGGGTTAACGTACGCCCTTCGCCATTGATCGTTTTGATTCGCAAGCGACAACGAGTCCAATGGAATGCGCGGAGGATGCCAACTTCACGACCCCTCGAACGATCCCGCGGACGGAAAATGATGTGTTTACATTCGTATCCCCTCCCACGAAGAGCGAGCCTACGCCACGGGAGCCTTCCAAAGGGAGGTCCATGTCACGGCTATCGTCGTCCAGGTCCCACAAAATGTGCCTGTATCGAACAGGCAAGTGCAGCAACCAGAGACACATCAAACCGAACGGATCCCTGCACAAAATGTGCACGTTTCACAGAGCCAAAGCCAATGAAAACCAGCGACGTCTCGATCAAAAGAAGAAGGACGCGGGGTTCCATCGACGAGAGCGCATTTCCGCCTTCAAAGTGAAAGGCGTGCTCCAGCCAAAGTCCGCAACGCTCGTGTACGCCCTCGACAGCAGCGATGCACCCTCCACAGGAACAACGCAACTACAACAGGTGTTATCGCATCCATTAGAAGACATCATGCCAGACGTGATGATCCCATTCCTCCTCGACAGCTACTTGGATGTGACAGGCGAGAACACAACGAACTCGTCGTCGTCCCACGTCGCCTAGTTGCGACCGCGTATTTAAGAGCGCGTTCAAATAGGGTGGTTGTCCAAGTAATAACTTATGGTCGTTCATTGAATTCCAAGCAGTTGTAGCCATTTACTCTCGCACAACATCGTATAGCTCGCCCTGGCGACTGGAATATCTGGAATAGTATCGTTTAGTCGACCATCAAAGCACACTTTTACTCCAACGCTGTTTGTGTCTAGTATGTCTTCCTGTCCTCTGCAGACAGCACGTCGTCATTTGCCAGCAGTACATTCGACCGCTTTCGCACCGCGATGGTTCGCATGGTGTGAAAATCGAAGATCGTGGTGAATGCAATGGGAGCTGGGCAATTTCACGAGAATCAAATGCCTTCTTCTTGACGTCGGAACGGGACCCACGAGAACTACGGCCAGCCATCGCACGGTGCCACGTACTCCTTTGGGTGGTTTCGTAGATTTGCAGCATCTGATTCGTAGGATGTCGTACAGTCGTCGCACCAGCATTCCAATGCCTGATTGGCTGAAAAATAAACCATTATGATTGGTTATATTCAACGAATAAATATCATCTGTCTGTGCTGTGATTCGCTACTAAATTTCGGTGCTGTGATTGGTCAAAATATTTCATTGTATGTGTGTTCTGCCCTCGTCAAGCACGATGGCACCACCCACAACAACTCCACCAGTGTTCCACGTCAGCACACGGCACAGTGCCAGGCGACAGAACGCAGACAAGGAAGCGAAGAGGCAGGAAGGATTGGATCATCAAGCAACATCGCCGTTGAATGTAGCGACCGGGGGTGTTTCAGACGAATCGTCGGCACCAGAAAACCAACGAGACGCCGCGCCAACGAAAGCGTCCAAGCGGGCTCGGGTATCTGGCGAAGAGAACGAAGATGGCGAGGGGAAACATCCTCCGATCCGTAAAGCATCCATGAATTCCACGCGGGTCGACCTCATCTTGGGAAAGTACTTGGTGGGCGACGCCAACATCATGTGCATGGAGATTTTGCAACAAATGAACGACAATGCCGAGTCGTCGAGAGCCATGGCTGCGTCGAGACCACCAGGTAGCATCATTTCCACGATCCATGAATGTCTAACGACTTATTCAGTGTCCATCAACTGGTTGGAAGTGTCGGCCAACTTGCAGTACAAACACCACCTTCATCTGAAACCCCGGTGGGTCCTTTGGTTTCTCTGGAGTCGCCACGTCATATTACTGTGTAGGGAATGCCAAGACTTGTGGAAATATTTAGCCTACGACCACCCACCCTCTGTCGGGACGGACTTGTCGGCGCCGGACCTTCCCGTCGTCGAGGACCAAGTCGCCGCAGACTCGGACGTGGAAGATTTCAACGCTACCGCCGAGTTTCTGGCCGAAAAACGAACCCGTACAAGTATTTGCATACACTAGATCTATCTATCCCACATCCATCCCAACACGTAAGTAGTACACAAAGCGGCGGAATCAGCAGCCGACCCATCTCGTTCTACCGTGCAAGATGGCACGACTGCCCCGGAAGACAACCCGTCGACAACCCCAGCGTCCGTCGGTGACCCCTCGGAGCTCGGCTTGTTTCCGTCGTTTGACCCTTCTGGGTTTCTCCACTCGGACGCGGAGCTAGACATGTCGACGTACGTCCCGCTGCACGCTGTGGCCGAACAATTCATGAGGCGCCGCGAGCCGCCTCTTTCGCTGCCCCACAAGCTACCACAGCAGTATCACCCACCCATCCGGATGCAGCAAGCGTCCGCGGCGGGGGCTGGAGCGAAGCCGACGACACCACAATCGAGTAGCAACAGTTCGATGGTCCGCGCGCCGCCGCCCCAGCCGACCCCTTCCACATCTCCATTTGACATCTTCAAACGCATGTACACGGACCGGTCCGGCCTCGACGACATGAGCCTGAACATGCTCTTCGAACAGTCGCCGCTCGAGGTGCGCACGCGATGCCACCAGCTGGCCGCCCAAGACCTCGAACGGTACCAAAAGGAATGTCTGCGGCAAAGGCTGTATGAGAAATCCGTTCGAGGGTTGCATACCCCTCCAAACACTCCTCCTCGGGCCAATGCTGTCGTTCGGTCTGACATCATGTAAAAAGGGATACTACTAGTAGTACTACTACAATACCTCATGTGCTTAGGTATTCTCTTAAATCAGTACTATGTACTACACTGTATGAAATATGTGCAATCGTCCTAACGTTATTAACCCTAACGTTAATGGAAGTACAGTACTAGTACGAGTATAATTTACTACAGTACTTCAAGTACTAATAATAGTACGTAGTAACTTACTACTATTTTAATAGTAGTAAGTTACTATTAATATGATTAATACTTGAAGTACTGTAGTAAATTACTTCGAAGTATACTCGAAGTACTTCGAGAGTAGGATCATTTATAATAGTATTACTTCGAAGTATTATTCTATTAATACGATGTATTACTATTATTATTATTTGAAATAATCGTGATTTTTTTTTGCTGGATTCGTTTTGTTGACATATCCGAACGAATTATCCGGCGATAACGCAGCGTGCCATGTTTTCGTCAGGCGCCGCCGTGGACGCGTCCGCGTCGAAGGTGAAGAAACGTGGTAAGGACTACGACAAGACACCAGTCGTAGATGCTCATGATGGAAATCTCCTTTGTTCTCCTAGACTGGCTCAATGTTGGCCAAACCTATGCGGATACATACATCAGTGACGACGATGACGACAGCGACGACGACCATGCTGTTCCAGCAGCATCCCGCGAGGTCGTGACAGCGCGGACAGAGAAAAAAAAACCCGACGTAACCACTAGAAAGCCACATCCCCCTCCGAAGCAAAACGCCGTGTTTGAAATCGATCGCGGAGGCGACAAGAACAACCTCTTCTACGGCACTCTCGCTGACAAGGACATACCAAGGTATGCAGGTCCGCCGCCACAACTACGACATGTTTATGCGCGCCTCTCACATCCCTCGCATGCAGGTACCACCTCGTGAAGCGTCGGCGTAAACACATGGACGACTCGACATCGGCCGTGCGCTACTTTGACCCGACCCTCAGGCAACCCCGTCATTCCCGTCGGGTGAACTTTGCAGAAAGAGCGACCACCGCCGTCCCTCCGTTCGACGTGGCCGCTCCGTTCATCTCAGTCGAGCCATTTGCTGACGTTGAAGAAGACGATGCCCAGACGGACAACCAACGGCTGGAAGCGCTCGTGATGGCGGAAAACAAGCGGTTCAACGAAGCCCTCCGACAGACCCCCTCTGTACGACGCCCTTCTCGTATCAATGATGTCTCACACTATTTGGCGGTGGCTAGAATGTCTCGTTGTGGATCAAGTACATGGCAGCGCAGGAGCGCGAAGGCGGCGCGTTCGTGCGCCACAAGCTTAAGCAGCGGTCGGCGGTGCTGGACAAGCAGCTCGCGATTTTGCAAAAAGCCAAAGCGGCCAACCCCACGTCCGTCGAGTTGCACGCCATTACGTGGCTCATGTGTCTGCAAGCTCCAGAAGAACTGGCCAGTCGACTTGAGCAACACCTGCTCACGGCCCCCGACAGCGAACTGCTATGGCTGCTGCTTATCCAGCAAACCCAGCAGCAGTTTAGCTCGTTTTCCCTGCCCAAGATGCGAAACCTGTACGCCAGACTCATCCAAACCCTCCAGCTGTCCACCCAACCCGACGTGAGCGCGAGCCTGGTGCTATTCTACACCCAGCTCTGCTCGCTTGAGGCCAAGGCCGGGTACACGGAGCGATCCGTCGGGCTCATGCAGGCGCTGCTCGAGTTCAACCTGGGCATGCCCCGTGCGTTCGTGCTCGGATCGAACGCCGCATCGTTAGATGAGCTCAAGCACGAGTTTCAAGCGTTTTGGGAGCTCGACTTGCCCCGGTTTGGCGAAGCAGGACATGTGACGTGGGCGGCGTGGCACTCGGTACGCACATGTAGACTAGTTGTGTCCACTACTTGATGTATGAATGAATACCTTTGACGGATACGGTGCAAAGTGCACCGGCTAGAGTGATATGTATATATATATCCCCTGTAAAAGGTTACTGATATATATGTATATATATACCTTGAACAGGCAAAAGAAGCAGCTACCGCTGCCCCCACGACAACCCCCGGCGACCACCACCTGACGTACGCGTCGGACTTGTTGCCGTCGATGCAAAAGTACATGCACACACTAGAGACCCGCGTCCAGCACGAAGTAGTGGCCATGCAACCGCCAGTGCACTTGAACAATCACCTGTCTTGTCGGCATCACCACCAGCCTAGCCACGTCGTTGAAGGTGATGCCAGTCGTAGTAGCCAAGCACAAGACACTCGGGATGAGTATGTGTGGAGTAACTTGCACGGGTACCGCATTCCAATCCAAGACGCTCAAGACTCGGCCGAGTACGAGCGCATTCTGCACGAACTCCAGTCAAATCGGCCACCCAAGGTGAAGAACACGGTAGCCAAGCAGGCCAATATGGTGGCGGATCGCGACGAGCGGATGGACGCGGCGGTGGTGGCGGACGACGACCCGCATGTGCAACTGCTTCAAGAAGAAACGATTCTGCATGCGACGCAATGGCATCCGCTGCACCCCCGCGACCCTACCCACGCTTCCTTGTGCGTCCCTTTGTTCTCTATAATATGTTGACATATATCGTTTAGAAGCTATTTTAAAATTATCTATTTATTACATATATATATTTAAAATTGTAATCGTAGCATCCAAGCCCAGCCAGACCGCGTGCTCTTGTTTGACGAAATCCAACCGTTCTTGTTTCACGTGCCCGACACGTGGCACCGCGACCTGTTGCTGTCATACTTGGACCAGGTCGGCGTCAAGTCGTCGGCGCGGCTGTCGTCGCAGGTGCTGCAGTGGCAGTATCAGGACGACGTGTTCCCTTGGTTTAACGACATGGTCACGACCAGCTGTCAAACGTTCCAGAACCATGTGCCGCCGACGCCGGGTATCGATCGCTTGGCCTTGTTGCAGAATGTCCTCCATGATGCGCTGGCGATTTCCCCCGATACCCTCGCCGACCCGTCGAAAGCGACGCACGTGCGTCATCTGCTGTGGCAAACGCACCAATATGACCTTCTCATGGAGTTTGAAACCAAGCTGGCGATGCATATCAGTCTCCCGGACGCCCCGCGGGCGCTGGCCAAGCAGCTGCTCGCCGCCGCCCCCACCGACATGACGCTGTGGGAGCAGTACGCCATCATGGAGTGGCGGCTGCAAAATGCCAAGCAGGTCGTCCGCATCTGCGACAGGACCGTCGAGTCGCTCCCGTCGACGTCCGTCGAACAGCATCGGTTCCTATATCTCCGGTTCCGCGCCCAGATAATGGCCGAGCTGCCGTGGACGGATCGGTCCGTCTGGTGCTGCGTGTACATTGTGGCCAAAGCGTTTTTCCCCGAGTACAGTACAGCCTGTGTATTCTGCCAATATCACATACTTTGCAATAGGAGCGTGCCAGAGCCGGTAGCTAAAGCGTGTAAAAAAGTCGAGAAAGCCATGACGAACGAGTATGCGGCCATGGTGCCGGCGGCCGCGCTGCGACTAGTCCGCTTCCGATTGCAGGCGCAATTAGACCAAGCGCTGCTCACGACCTCCACCCCCTCGTCGTCGTCGTCTTCCCAGCTTCCGATCCTGCCGTACGTCGTCTACACCCACGCGCTTGTCTTGTACGCCGTTGAAGGGCTCTCGTCTGCGACAAAGTGCTTTCGCAAGTGGATCGATATGGCCAAATCCAATTGCCAGCAGCACTCGCGCACGTTGGCGCCGGATGCGTGGCGACGAGTGATGGAGTGGCTCGTGGCTGCGTATCTGGACTTTCTTTTGCGCACGGGGGGCGGTCGGCAGTCGCCTCGACAGTGGCGCCACGTCACACAGTTGGCCATGCAGTTGGTATGTGCGACGACGTTAAATGTGTGACGAGGAACGGCGACTGTGTGTGACGATGTGGGGTAGGCGCCAGACCACCCCGTGTTTGTCCACTTGTTTGTCGACGCCGAGCAAAACAACGCGATGAGCCAGCAAGTGCGCCGCCAAGTGCAGGCCGCCGTGGCCTCCAGTCGATTGCATTTCGATGCCGCGTCCCCCATGGTACATAAGTAAAAGTCATGTTTTGCCAATCAATTCACCATTGTATTGTAGGTGTACTTGATGGGACTTATGGGCGAAGTGCATCGCTTGAAGACTGCCAACGAGCTGGACGTGCGCGAGTCGTGCTGTGCACTGCATGAATGGGGACCCGTGGCCATCGGCCGCATTCGGCGGCTCTTTGAAGACGCGATGGATGACACGTCCAGCTGGCGATCCCATGGGTACCATCCATGAAGATGATAAGATGATGTATGCATGTGCTCTAGGTCGGCTTTGCTGTGGCGCCTCTACCTTCGCTTTGAAGTCCACGCCGGCCAAGTCCAAGCCGCGATCAAAGTGTTTTACCGAGGTATTCACAAATGTCCATGGAGCAAAGCGCTGTATCTGGACAGCGTGCGCATCCTGCGGCCGTACCTGTCGGACCAACACATGGCGGACATCGTCGGGTTGGTTGTGACCAAAGAGCTCTACCTTCGGTACGAAGGTGGCGAATAGTATCGTAGAATAGTTGATTAGTAGTACTAGTAAAGGCTATTAAATCACGCCAGGTACAAATACTGCCTGGACATGCGTCTTGTACGTGGTCCAGTCGTCGCCGTACTTTTCGCGGCAACTCGTGTCATCACGGACCGCGCGATGCACGAGCAGAATGGCAAAGTAGATGGCGTAGTAGTACGGCATGATGCTTGCGCTGCCAGTGTACGCACACCACGCCTACAAATATATATATATCAAACGTTATACAAATCGACACAGACAATCGACCGACCAATCAAAAGCTAGAAAACGATGTCAATTAGCCAATCAAATACACTCCTGGAACATCCATCGAAATAGTGTGAGACTATCCATAGTGTGAGCACACATATCGTACGTACAACATTCCGCACAAAAACTCGACTGATATGGATTTGGTGAATCAGCACAAAAATAATATTCATGACGTTATTCAATTTTTGGGTGACACCACATGATATATATATATATATATAGTTACCAGCCCCATGCACCAGTCGCCCGTGTAGTTGATCTTGCGCGCCAAGCCCCACCATCCCGACACGAGCAGCTTGGTCCCGCGCTTCGTGGGCATCCACTTCAAGTGCTTGACACTGTCGCCGTGGGGGTCTGTTCGGAACGCGTCCTTTTGGGCGTTTGCCCCGCGAAAGATGGCGTACCCCAACATATTGAGCGCGACAATGGCGGCAATCACAGGAACGCTCAATTGCGGGTCTCGGTCCACAAGGTACCGCGCCTGCAACGAGTACGTGAACGGCACCCACGTAAGGTCTCCGAACGCCAGCATGTAGCCAAACCCGTCGGTCGTGATATCCATGGTTGTGAGCACGCACTAGAAGGGGTATAAAAAACGGGTAGCAAACACGTAGCAAACAAAACCACCGAACCTTTTCGTGCCACAACGCGTCCCAGACGTACAGGAGTTGAAAAAACACGACGCACGCCATGGAATGCGACACCGTTCCGTGGAGCTCGAGCTGTTTGGCCAGCATGCCCAGGTTGAGCACTGCCCAGCCAATCAGACCGGGTCGGAGCTCGCAAAAGTACTTCAAGTCAAACGTGCCAGTGGATTGCGTGCGAAAGTTGAGTTCGCGGCCGATGAAAAAGTTGAACACGGCGGACGGCGACGTGCCCTGCTCGGCACATAGGACGTCAGGGCGGCGGAAGGATACGACGTACACGAACACGCTGATCAAGAAGGAGAGGAGGATGGCGCCGACGGCCAGGTGGAGGTAGTGGTCGTACGCGTACGTCAAGGGCGCAACGCCTTGAAGATGGCCAATGGCGACGATGGCCATGGACAGCCAGAAGCACGTGTGGCCGTTCACTTTGTACACCAGTCGGTCCTTGGTCGGCAGCACCACTCCGTTGTGAAACTCACCCGGTACCAACCGTTCCAGCAGCACTTGCAACCCAAACCATCCAAACACAACCGCAATGGCCTTCGCGTCGACAAGATCGCTCCACGACAACGTCGTCGTGACTTGGATGTACAGCTCCCCAAAGTCAAATCGGTTGTCAATGCAGTACGACGCATTGCACCCAGCAAAGAGGAATACGACCACGACTGGCAAGATGCACATGATGACGAACGATCCAATCGGACCGCCAAAGTCATACGTGAATGGCTTGGAGTGCTTGGACTGTTCCGACGCTGCTGCCGCGGCGGGTGGCGTTGCAGCCGCCGACTTGCGTTGGTGCATGAGGTTTCGTTTCAAAATGGTCGTGCCGTCGCACTGCGTAGTCGTCGCAGAGTAATTCAAGTGATTACTGTGGAATGCTTATCCGGACACTATTAATTGCGAATTTTGCCTTTATATTATTGCAACAAATGTTATGCCCAATCAATTTCCATTGCCAATTTTACAGTTCCTGTAATTCGTCGTTAATTGAAATGAAACATAAAATACGAGATAAACTTACGCTGACGCAACTGGCACATTGATCTGCCCTTGATCGATTATAGTTCTCAACCATTCAAAGCCAGCCCCCAGGGAATCCGCTAAGTAACGAACCACTCATGGCAAGGTTGCCTAAGTTATAGTAAAAAGGAAAGGGATTCTTGTGGGGCTACTATTATTGATAATAATAATACTATTAATACGTAGTATAATACTTCAAGAAGTCTCTTCGTGCACATGAAGTCCCAAATATGGGTCAATTCGGTCCGTAATTCGTATGTCATCGCCGGCATCGATCGTGAGGTTGTGCAACACCATGCAGGTAACGATAGTTCGACCACAACTTCTTGGAGTTTTCATCGTCAAGGTACGCTTCAGGACACGCCACCTCCCTTTCAGGCCACCGAAGGCCATCTTGACGACGATCCGTGAACGAGACTGAAGATAATTGTATCGTGATTCACTTCCGGGCATCCCAGTGTATATCGGGTAGGGTATCATCATGTATGTGGCAAGGGTGTATCCAGCATCACCGATGATATGCAAGTACGCCGGCAAAATAGCTAGGACACGTCGCCCCAAGCTCGACATATGCCACACATTTTTGTCACCGCACGACCCCGGACGCAGAGAGTTCTTCATAAATCGCCCACGGCCGTCTACCGTCGCTTGCAAGTTAATCGCGGCGAACCCTTTAGGACAAATCCAACTAATGCATATCAATATATCAATATTTTACATCTGTTTAAGTATTAATGCATTCAAGTATTACCCGTCATATTCATACGGCTTTTCCATTCTAAAAATAGAACCATCAACTGCCCCGCCGATGTTGGGGAATCCAGCTCTGCGCTCGAATTTTGCAGCATTGGCTATCCATTGTTGTTCACCTGGGGGAGTCGAATAGCGGACGAACTTAACGCAATAATAAGATCCATGACCTATATACGAATGAAACTTATAAGAACATATTATCACGACAATAATAATATCCTATGATATATAAACCTCATTCACGTTGATAATTGTCGTGGCGTTTGCGACCCCGAACAACGCTGCCGTTACCGCGAATCCCCCTTCTTGAGACAAGTAGCTGTGTGTCATGGCCACCCTTATCCGCATGTCGACAAAGGCGTTCATAGCTGGTAAGCGATGACCTTGATCGTGCGCGAAAACTTGGAGACGATACACAATTTGGTCAAATGTGCACCTGCTGACACGCAAGTTGCGCTTGTACCACCCAACTCCTGGGCAGGCTTCGACGCCTGTGACGTAGAACAGTTATAGTAGTGAAACGATACTGGCACAGGGCAGCAATACCTTCCCAGACGTTGTTTCGAATGGAGTAAACATTCATCCGTGGCTTCTTGTGTGATCTACCATCGTGTCCGACAAAGGCGACGACACAAGCTACTGCTGGAAGTGTAGTTGCGAATGCTACGATATCCCCGGCCTCCATTGTGCTTCAGCGGAAACGGGTTCGTGGATACTGACCCTCAAGTTGCTATCCGGTATCCATAATAATATGGGACAACTTTTCACCTCATTATTAATAACTTGTTGATAATTAATACATACTCAAATTCAAGTCAAACCAACCACTTTTTCAAAAAGTTGGTATTCCATGAACTTTTTATATAAGTGAGTGCCCACATAGTTAACGAGGAAAAGTGGGAGATTCATTACTTCAACCAGGCCCTAACTGTAAGGTAACGTAACGCATCGAATTCTCGGAAACTTTTTGACGCAAATTTTCAATTCCATCTCATACAAAACCTCGAGTATCAGAATTTCAAAGACGCGTTCTATTGGCAAAATATCGACCGAATTGACCTATTAAAGCTGTGGCACGGAACTGTGTTGGCGTAGTACTTCGAAGTGAGAATTTTTCAGATTGAGAAATTCGTCGAGCAAAATTTGGACAAGCGATAGTGGTCCTGCATCAAGTGATAAAGTGTTGACGATGCACGTTTTTGCAATACTGTACCCCCAGAGTTACGAGACTTCAAAAGTAGAAGTACTACGTACAGTACCGGTAGTAGTAGGACAAGCTGGGCGGAAATTAGTACATGAAACTCCTTCGCCACACAGTGGATGCTGCCGTAAACGTCGTTTGTAGTTGACTGTGTGTGACCGTACGCTGCTGCGTCCACTACATGCCTCTACATGGACATGTACCACGTGCAAAATCAGCAAATCAATACAGTCACCTCAGTCGTCCAAAATCTGCAGCAGCATGTGGAGATTTCTTCCATCAAGGCAACGAGACCTCCATGACAGGAGCATCTCGGGAAAGTATAGCGGGAGTGTGGATACATATCGTCTGAACGCTTGGCTGGATCGACCAACATCCGATGTGCATCGGTTCTGCATTCAAATAAAACATACCAATGCCAGCTACGACATGCCAATCGTCTACATTGTGCCATCTCTGCCACCTTCCAGCCATGCGATAGAGAGCCTCGGCGTCGCCATGATGCCAGTGACGGCCGTTGAACCTCTCGACCTTGATATAAGTAGTACCTTGCTTTTGCAATGGCCCGCCATATACAAACGTCCAGTGTCCTTCTTCCTGTGTAGTATTTCTGTATCTAGAATTCGAGGGCTGTAACGTCGCACCCCACCACCCCTCCAGATGGATGATGGCACACTTGCGAAAACGAATAAAACGCCCATTGTCGCTGGCCCACTCCCATGTCGCCATCGCCGTCTTTACTAGCACGCGCCACCTCAGCCATCCCTGCTCCAGCACAGCCAACGTCTCCTGCGACGATGACGAAGCGGCTCGCGTTCACGACGGCCACCATTTACGTGTTTGACCTGGACCATGGCGGCAGCGCCTTGCCAGCCGACACAGGGCCACCCGTGGGACTCGCCCGTCACCACTCACGCCAAGAGCGCATCGACCTGACGTCGCCAGTGTCGTGGGCGACAAAGCGAAGCCGCGTGCGCAAATTCGACCACAACGAGCGCATGAATTTGCTCAAAGCGGCCAACTACTCGATGAAAGAAATCGCCGCGTTTTGCTTTGACGCGATCGATATCCGAAAGTCGCGACTCGCCACCCTCGACGAAATCGAGGCCAAGCGCCAAGCGCGGCGGCGGAAACTCATCCACAACGCCCGCCGACTACCGCAACACACCGCCGACGACTGTCCACTGGAACAAGACACGAAAACTTAACCTTTGTTCATATACTTTGTACTTCACAGTACACTTACGTACTACTTCGAGTACAATATTCGTACAGATGTCCTCGCATCTTGTAGCCATTCTAACACGGACACATGCAAGTCTAGCACATTCAATACAACGTGGCATCATACTGAACGTCCTATTATACGGTAGCTGGCAACTGCTAGAAGTACCCCATTGACCTACTTACTGTATAGCTGTCAAACCACCTCGTCAGATAACGATCTGTACGTTGAGCATACAGTACAGTACGGCCGAGTCAGGAATCCGCCACCTACGTGACATCTACATTCAGACAACATCAACATCCATGTGACGATTGCATCAGGGCAAGCTTAATGGGCCACTTCCAACATGATCTTTCCGATGTGGGTGCTGGTCTCCATGAGGGCATGCGCGGCGGCGGCGTCTGCCAGCGGAAACACTTTGTGCACGGCCGGCTTTATCACCGTCTTTGCTTCCAGCAGCGGCCACACGCGGTTCTTCAAGTCGGCGGCGATAGCAGCTTTGAACGGCACTTCCCGCGCCCGGAGCGTCGAGCCGGTCAGCGTGAGGCGGCGCCGGAGGATCTGCGCCAGGTCCACTTGGGCCGCCGCGCCTCGTTGCAACGCGATCATCACGAGGCAACCGTCGGTGGCCAAGGCGTCGATCTCCCGGGGAATATAGTCGCCCCCGACCATGTCCAAGATGACGTCCACGCCGCGGCCGTCCGTCGCCGCCTTGATCACCGCAACAAAGTCGTCCTCGCGGTAGTTGATGGCCACGTCGGCACCGAACGCTTGGCACTCGCGGCACTTGTCCGCCGACCCCGCCGTCACGAACACGCGATGGCCAAAGGCCTTGGCCAACTGGATGGCCGTGATGCCGATGCCGGAACTGCCGCCTTGGACGAGAAACGTGTCGACGCCGCTCAACTTGGCGCGTTGAAACACGTTGCTCCATACCGTGAAGTACGTTTCAGGCAGCGACGCCGCTTCGATGAACGTCCATCCGTTGGGCACAGGAAGGCAATGGGAGGCCACCGCCGTGGCGTACTGGGCGTAGCCACCCCCAGACAACAAAGCGCATACCTTGTCGCCGAGCTTCCAGCCGGACGATTCCGCGGTGGTGTTGGGTCCAAACCCCACAATTTCGCCCGCCACGTCCAGGCCGAGCACGTCCGACGCACCTGGAGGGGCAGGGTACGCCCCCTTGCGCTGCAAAATGTCGAGGCGGTTCAAGCCGGCCGCATGCACCTTGATGAGGACCTCACCATCGCGTGGCACAGGAACGTCGCGGGTGGAAATCTGGAGGACGTTGGCATCCCCAGGGGCAGTGATGTGGATGGCTTGCATGGTCGTTGGTGTCGTCATGGCTGTGTTCGAGTTGATGAATTGGAAAATGATCCCAAACGGTGTGTACGATGTACTGTGCTTCGTCGCCGTTCGAACGTCATCGTCACTCCGACGTCATCCTGAGTGGGTTTTATCCGGAGGTGGACATTATCCGGATATTCCATCACCAATTGGACTCGACTCGTTGCGGCCATCATCATGTCGTTGGCGAAGTGGGAAGTGTGTATTGGTCTGGAGATCCATGCGCAGATTCTGTCGGCGTCCAAGCTGTTCTCAGGCTCGAGCGCGGCGTCCAAGTCCGCGGCCTTCTTGCCGAACAGCCGCGTGTCTTTCTTTGATGCGGCCATGCCTGGAACGTTGCCGTCCTTGAATCGGTCATGTGTCGCCCAAGCCGTCCGCACTGCCCATGCATTGCAGAGCGACGTGAACCTTCAGAGCGTGTTCGAGCGAAAGCACTACTTTTACTGTGACTTGCCATTGGGGTACCAGATCACGCAGCAACGCGCGCCGATCGCCTCGAACGGCATCCTCAAATTCCACGTCAAGGACACTGCGGGCGACACCGTCGCGCGCAACACCAACTTTTCCAGCCGCAAAGAGAAAAACGCGGCCCAGAAACAGCTCGCAGGTACACTTCGTTTCCGAGCATTCCTCCTCCTCACTTCTTCACGCAGCTGCCGACGCCAACGAGTGGGTCGAGAAGCAGGTGCGCATCAACCGCATCCAGATCGAGCAGGATTCCGGCAAGAGTTTGCACACGTTGGACGCGACGCACGTCGATTTGAACCGCGCGGGGACCGGTCTCATGGAGATCGTGTTCGAGCCGGACCTGCGCAGCGCCGCGGAAGCAGGCCAAGTGCTTCGGGAAGTCCAGCATCTGCTTCGTCACATCGGCACCTGCGACGGCAACATGGAGGACGGCTCCATGCGCTGCGACTTGAACGTGAGCGTCCGTCCGAAGGCGGCAGAGGAGCACCCGTTCGGCGAGCGCGTGGAGGTGAAGAACATGAACAGCATCCGCCACCTCATGCGGGCCGTCGAGTTTGAGATGGAGCGCCAGGTACTGTCTCGTCAGTTGATTTAAATGTGTGACAGAGCGAGCACACGCCCAGGTGCGGCACATCGAAGCCACGGGGCTGCCAATCGAGAAGGAGACGCGGACGTTTGATGCCGCGACTGGCATGACGGTAGGCGGCTCCTGTGATGAAAGAAGCATGATGGAGCGAGCGGACATGTAGCGGCGCATGCGATCCAAGGAAGGCGCCAAGGACTACCGGTTCTTTCCCGAGCCGGACCTGCCGCCGCTCGTCATCTCGGCCAGGTTTGTCGACGACGCCAAGGCGAGTCTGCCAGAGCTGCCCGACCAAATGAAAGCGCGCCTCGGTCGCGACTATGGCCTCTCGGCCTACGAAAGCGCCATCCTGGTAATTATATATATTGTTTATTGTGCTTTCAAGTGAAATTTCATTGTGTTGTGGTTTCTCGTTGGAATTTAAATCGATTTGATTGGCTACTTCAGATGAGCTCAAAATTATTAACCAATAAAAACCCATTTCTCAATGAAATTCAACCAATCAGATCGATTGTCGATCGATTTGGTCGATTGCACCCCCTCCCCAAATTTGTATCAAATCGACAATAATATGATTATTAATTATTCTAACGGTGTGGTAGGTCCATACCCCGCACGCTGTCGCGTACTTTGAAGAGGTGGCCACAGGCCGACCGCACCGATTGGCGTCCAACTGGGTGCTCAACGAACTGTTTTCGTTGCTCAAAGGTACATCGCAACGACGAATATATATATTTGTGTTATAGATTGATCTTTGTGTTGGCTGTAGCGACCAACACGGATATTCGCGAGAGTCCTGTATCCCCGTCTCGACTGGGGGAAATGCTGGATTTGATCGTTGAAGAAACGATTTCTGGCAAAATTGCCAAGGTATGTACATATTGCTGGTCAATTATATAAATATATATGTATGTGTCGCATAGGAGTTGATCCAGCACATGTACTACGAAGACACGACGGGGCGGCCTGTGGACATTGTCGAGCGCAACGGGTGGAAGCTTATCACGGACGACGAAACGTTACGCGCGTATTGCCGCAACGTCGTGACCAACCCGGTACGTGTCAGCCATTCATTGGACTATCGGGGATCGAGTAAAGAATGACTGGTTGGGGTGCGTCTGGGTAGAATAATGCCAAGAACGTGGCCGCATTCCAAAGCGGCAAGGCGCAGCTGTTTGGGTACTTTGTCGGGCAAGTGATGAAGGACTCTCAGGGTCGCGTCCATCCTGAAAAGGTGAACGCGATTCTGCGGGCGATGCTAGAAGCGTAGGCGTTTCTGATAAACGAATGAATGCACAACGAGATGCTGCAGACGTCTGTCGTCGTACATTTATATATGTGCAAGAGTGTTGGCTTTCAACAATATGGACACTACAACTGTAAATATAGCAGCCACACTATCACTACCCTGTGTCGCACACTACAATACAACGCCGTGTGCTCTTACACTATGTATGTATATATACTAGTACATCGAGATTGACGTCAAACGAGAATGAATGTATGGGGATTTTTCACTAGTGCAATGACCAACGTTCCGGACAACACTATTTGGAGTTTACGACAGATTCCGCTGCTCTTTTCTCGATAGTCGCAGAATATCAATGCCTTCCCCACGAAAGTCGGCGTGGTAGTCGCCTTTGGGAACGACCGCCACATCAAACTCCTTTTTCAGCTTGAAAAAGAACTTGGCTTCTGACCCGTGGCGCTGCTTGTACGCGACCAACGCCACGGTGGACGGCGACGCCAGCAAGTGCCGCAGCGACAGCAGCAGCGCGTCGTACGCGGCTTCGTACGGACATGCGATGATGTCGGCCCCCAGCACCACATCGAAAGCCCCGAGGGCGTCCACGTCTTCACCCCTGTCAATCGAAATTGTTGCATGGCGAAACGTCAGAGACAAAAGTACGAAAGGAAATAGTGTATTCTTGGTGAATGTACCAGAAATGCTTTGCGGCGTGGCACGAAAAGGTCGAAGTGGCTTCGGGGGGCGTGTTGGTGTCGATGTTGTGCTGGGCTAGCGTCACCACGTTGGCGTCGCCGTCGGTCGCAAGTACGTGGCTGGCTCCTAGGCAAGAAAGGTGAGCTCCCTTGAGGAAACGGGCAGGATGCACCACCTGCATGGGCAGCCGCGATGGCCACCAAGCCGGTCCCGCACCCGAGCTCCAGGACACGCCGTTGCCGGACGATGGAAGGGTTCGTGATGAGGATGTGAGGTTAGGAGTAGTCGGGAAGGATGAAAGACAGGTCGTATCTGTGGATGTAGAACGCGAGCATCACCGCCGCATTGTATACGTGGGCTCCGAATCCCAGCTCGGTGCCGCCGCGACCATCGGGCTTCCATTCTTGCTTGATGTGGATGCTGATGTCATCCAAGTGGAACAAGCGCTCGGCCGCCAAGTGGGCAGCGTGAAATGGACTACATCATGTCCATGACAACGGATATGAATGGACGCGCAATGCAGTGTACCTCGTGTACGAGAACGGCACGATCGCCATAGCACTCTCATCACAGTTGGTTGCCATACTGGATGTCGACATGGCTTATAAATAGTGTTGGTCACTCCAAATTAGTGTGTACTCCAGCAATTGCCCTGTCTATCCATTCGACAATCATGACACGATATGTCAAGTCCACGTCCGAAGTCCTGCGATTGTACCGCGAGATTCTTCGGACAGCGCGGAGATTCCAGTGGCCGAATGAGCAAGGGCAATCTTGGTAGGTCTCTTGTCTCGCCCGTGGTCCATGGCATGATGGAGACTCATGCGCAGGGCCAAGATCTTGCAAGCCAATGCCCGCATGGAGATCGAACAATCTCGACACGACACGGTGGGCCAGTGGATGTATAGATACCATGTAGCATTCAACCAAGCCAACTGTCTGTAGGACTCGGAACTGATTGCTCGCAAGGTCTTGGCAGGCTGGGAATGCTTGCAGCAAGTCCAGGAAAAGGTTTGAGTTTGCCCTTGACTTTGCTCATGGTTGCCCATGTATAGATGGCCGACAAAGCTCGGTCTTTGCACGACCAGCAGCAACAGCCAGAGAAATAAGATCGTAATCGACGTTTAACGCGGGAATGCATGGTCAGTATAACTACCGGTGGCAGCCCGCCTCTTAAATCAACCACGTGTCAAATCACCTTTACCGTGCAATCTGCCACGTTCAATTCTCAAAATGGCACTTCTTTGCATTTAAGCAAACATGGCCATCAGACCAGACAGTTGCTACGGCATGGCTTGGTAGTGGTCGCCCGCTGCTGCCTTTTCCACGCCCCGCGCGACGCCCATTTCTTGGGTTTGCTGGGACGCAAAGTTGTTGAAGATTTGCTCGAGGGTGGTCTGCGACACGGTGTACTCCTTGACGTGCAAGTCGGTTTTGGTCGATTCGATGAGCGAAAACACGTTGGACAGCGCCAGCGTGTGCTTGGCACCGACCAACTTGAACCGCGACAGGTCGTTCTGGCGCTCCAATAGCAGCACATTCGGCTCCCCAAAGCTCTGGCCCAGGTACGCCGCCATCTTTTCAAAGCGGTCTTCACTGAGCCACCACGCGCAAAAGTCCCGCACGCGGACGTAGTCGTTGCGGCCGAGCGATTCCGCCAGCACATACCCCGTCGCATGCTCCATGCTGATCTGGTCGGCGCGGTGGGGTTTGGCCAACGACGCACACACGTCCACCAGCTGGTCCTTGGTCAACGTGGCCACTCCTTCCAGCGAAGGCGACGTGCTGATCATGTGGTCCACGTCGGCAGACAGCACGGGGGCCACCCAGACATGCATCATCATTCCGTCGCCAAAGCGGTTCTTCAGGTGCTGGATGCTGCCAAGGCAGCTCAACGACCCGCCCACCATGATACCCACGCGGCTGCACAGCGCCTCGCACTCCTCCATGCTGTGCGTGGTCAGCAGAATCGTCGACTCTTTGCTGCGCGTGGAAATGTCGGCAATGACATCCCACATGAACCGACGGGACACGGGGTCCATGCCCGTGGATGGTTCGTCCAAGAAGATGATCGGGGGCGACCCAATCAGAGCGATCGCCACCGACAGCTTGCGCTTGTTGCCGCCGCTCAACGTCCCGGCCAACTTGTGCTCAAAGTCGTTCAAGTTCATCTGGTCCATTTTGTCCTTGACCGTGTCGCAGATGCGTTTGGATGGCACGCCCTTGATGGACGCAAACAGTTCCAAGTGTTCACGAACGGTCAGCAGGTCGATCAGTGCGTCAAACTGTGGGCAGTACCCGATCAGCCGACGCACTTCGATCTGCTGCGACATGATGTCAAACCCCCCGAGGGTTGCCGAGCCAGACGTCGGCAGCACGTCCCCCGTGAGGATCTTCATCGTGGACGTCTTGCCGGCGCCGTTGATCCCGAGGTAGCCAAAGCACTCGCCTTTGGGCAGAGCCAGCGTCAGGTCGTTCAGACCCACCTTTCCGCCCTTGTACACCTTGCGCAGGTGCTGCATGACCACTGCGTAGTCATCCACGTCTCCGCCAGCCACGCGGCGCCCTTCTGCCGCCACGTCGTCGTCGATGGTCATGGGGGCGGACATCACCACGGGGTCCTTTGCGATCATGGCCTTGATCTTGGGGAAGCTCAGGGCGTAGTCAATGCCAATTGCGACAAGGGGAAACACGACGGCTTCCCCCGCCAAGAATGCAATCTCCCACCCCGTCACATCCAGGTCGAACGAGCTCTTGGTGCTGGTCGACGAGAACAAACTGTTGAGGAGACTCTGGACACTCAAGTTGTTGAGCGCATTGCCCAGATTGAACAGCGGCGACAGCCGCCAGATAAACTTGAGCGACTATAAACATCACGACCCCCATCATCATCATCATTATGGTCAGCATGACGCATATAAAGCACCCCCCGTACCTTGTTGATCTCGGTCGTGCTGGCCACCACGTCGAGCACTTGCGATATTGTCATCAACACCACGCCCAAAAATATGTTGACCATGATCACGTACGTCTGCGACGACGCGCTGTCGACAAACAAATACGACAGGCAGTAGCAGAACGAGCAGAGCGCAAACCCAAACAGTACAAATACGACCGCCACGGCCGCAAACGGCTGCGACGTGCACGTGGCGCAGTCTTTGCCCGTGAACGGAGTAATCTCAAACAAGTAGATCACCCCCAGGCCAAAGCCGCCCGGAATCGCGTAAAACAGCAGGTCCCACGCGTACGTGGCGAGCCAGAACGCCGGCAAACTCACGCCACTGACCAACTGTTGGTGCTTGGAGTTGTGCGTCGGGTGCTTCTCGTGGACGAGGTACGGCACGATTGACGCTGTGAAGAATGCAAACGCAATCGCGATGAAAATGGTCGCAATGAACGACAGAAACGTCGTAAAGAGCAGCTTGGACGCCGACGTGAGCGGCAGCGGGTGGCTCGTGACTCTTAAAAACACGGGGCTAGATGATGATGCCGACGATGACGACGACAACGACTGCACCAACGCGTGGTCTAGCATGGCTTTGTACACAATGGCCGAGTGCGTGGCGGTCGTATTGACCATGACGTTGTACCCAAACACGTTGACCGCGGGATCAGATTGGGCCACAAACCCGCCAAACTGGACGAGGTTGTTGTTGCTGTTGTAGGCTTCGCGGAACGCTTCTTCGGCCGCTCGCAGGCAGAAACCCGTCGTGTCGGTCTCGTTGATGCTCGGGTTGGTGTACGTGACGTTGAACACGGTCGGCGTCGACGATGTATAGACTGGCAGGGCAATGTCCAGTCGCTTTCCATTGGCAATGTTGGCAAAGATGTCGCTGCAGCGGCCCCCCGCGCAAAAGTACGGCGTCGCGCCTCGTTGTTGGGGATATCCGTCCGTGTTGACCGCCATCGCCATGTCGTTCTTGGTCAGGGAGCTGTAGTTGAGCAGGAGCACCCCCAGCGTCAAAAACACAACCGGCAGAAGCGCCCCGAACAGCACCATGCGCTTGTCCCGTCTGGCGGTGCGGAACCGCTTTAGAAACAGCGCGCGAAAGTGATCTGCGAACCGGGGCGTCTGCAGCGCAAACGGTTCGGGCTTGACTGCTGCCACGTGGTCATTCCGAGGTTGCAGAGTGTGCTGCTGGCCCACGTCGCCCAGCTCGGCCACCTTGATGAACACTTCTTCCAACGTTGTCACAGAAATGCCGTACGAGAGCACACCCAAATGAGCCAAGTTGGCATCCAGCTCGACAAACATAGGCGCAAACAAGTGCGAGCAGTCTAATGGGAGCTGAAACGACACTTCTGTGCCCACGTTGCTGAGCACTTTGGCAGTGTCGACGTGGGATCGCACGAACGCCATCAGCGCATCCGTGTCGCAGTCGTCCGTCTTGACGAGCGAAAAGTTGTAGCCGGCGCCATACCTATTCTTGAGGAACAAGGACGACCCACAGCATCGCAGCTCCCCTTCCGCCATGATAGCAATGCGGTCGCCCAAGATGTCGGCTTCGTCCATAAAGTGCGTGGTCAACACGATGATGCGGTTGTATCGGTTGTTGAGGATGATTTCCCAACTGCTGCGACGGCTGTACGGGTCCATGCCAGACGTCGGCTCGTCCAGAAATACCACCTGACTGTCGCCCAGCAACGCAATCGCTAGACTCAACTTGCGCTTCATCCCCCCCGACAAGTCGCTGGCCTTGACCTGACGCTTCTCCGTCAGCCCCACTTCGACGATTTTGGCGTCTACTTGAGCGTCGAGGTCGGCGCCTCGGTACCCCTTGACCTGACCGTAGAACGACAAGTGTTCGTGTACCGTGAGTTCGCCGTACAGAACATCGTGCTGCGGACACATGCCCAGCGAACGGCGGATGGTTGGCAGGTCCCGTCGCAGCGACAGACCGTGGACGGTGGCGTCGCCGCTCGTCGCTGGAATCATACCCGTCAGCATGGAGATCAGCGTTGTCTTGCCGGCGCCGTTGTGCCCCAATAAGCACGTGATCTGGTTCTTGTACATGGTTAAGTTGATACCTTTCACCGCGACCTTTACTCCACCAGGCACGGCAAACACTTTGCGCAAGTTTTGAATGGAAAGGGCGTCGCCCGACGTTTCTTGTAGCCGCATGTCCAAGCCCATGTCTTCCATGGGAACGTCCTTGTCGTTGTCATGCGTATCGGCCAACGCATAAGTCGATGGCGGCGCCTGGCGCGACTTCATCCAGAACGTGCACGGAAAGTGCCACGGCAGCGGCACCCCATACTCTTTCGGGACCACCAGCTCAAAGTACATGCCCAAGAGCGTGTACAACACCACGTCCACCGCGAGCATCCATAACGACGTGGCAAATCGAAAGTTGTTGAATGGATCGCTGGCATTTGCAAACGATAGGCCGAGCGAGTTGGTCTCGGCACTCGCGAGCGCCGACGTGCCAAAGCTCAGCGCGACGGGGGCCAAGAGGCAGCTCCATGTCTTGACCCGTTCGTCCGTGTCGGGGGTGAACGCGGCTGAGACGAGGTACATGCCGAAGAAGCCGATGATGCCAACGTACGCGCCTGTGCGGGCCTTCGAGAAGAGCGCGCTCACCATAAACCCGTAGCTGAGCACGGCCAGCCCAAACACAAAGAAGAACACGAACGACAGGAGCACGTTCGTGTTGGGGAAGAGGTTGACGCTCCCGGCCGCCGCCTGCAACACTGCCGCCGCCAAGAACACCCCGCCGTACGTGGCGTACCACGACAGCACGATCGCACGTTCGGAGACGCCCATGATCTTGAGCAGTTCGCGGGACTTGGTCTCCTTCTCGTGGATGAGCGCCACAAGCACAGACGAGATGGCGTACAAGTACGAGATGACAAACACGAGCGCAAAGTACCGGTCCACAAGCGTGTAGAACGGCGACGACGTGTACGCTTGGATGGGCAGGGGGAAGACGGCGCTGCCGAGGACTGGCTGCGGGGCCTGTCGAAGTGGTAGCGCCAGCAGTTCCAGGGCCGCGTCGTCCATCCGGGCCCACGACAACGCCAAAGACGAGATGGTGGAGTTGTTGTTGTTGGTGACTCTGACGAACGCGTTGGCAGAGTCGACGAGTTTGTTCAAGTACAGGTCGTTCTGGACTTGGACCAGGAACCGACTGTCCAGCGATCCGTCCTTGACGCGGCTGTTGGTTTGCGTGCACTCGCCCGAGGTGGTCGTGCCATTCCACACGGGTACACACGTGGCAAACCGCGCGACTGCTGTCTGCAGCGTCATGAATCCTCGTTGCGTATATCTACATCATCATCCACAGCCATATTGCCATGAAGAAGGAAATGTGCTGATGGCGGAGATGGAGGGTACCGAGAGTAAATGGACGTGGTAATGGAGCGCTGGTACGGGTCGTACAGAATGCGGCTGGTCTTGGGGACGTCGCCCATGCTGCCTTGTCGTCCCGCGGTCGAGTTGAACCGAAGGGTATAGTCGATCGAGCCCGCGACGCCCAGGGTCGTGGGGTGCTCATTGAAGACCAACCCGGCGAAGATCTTGGGATTCGACGAGTCCTTTCCGTACGTGTTTCCTGTTGATCTCATGTCATGCTAATATGACACAACATGCAGCTAGTAATACTAGCTAGCGACGTACCTGTGACGTACGCGTCCAAGGCGTCGGTCGAGTTGAAAAAGATCACCGAGTCGTTAAACCCAGGGATTGTCACGTTCAACCCGCCGCTGCGCCCGACGTCTACGCGAGGGTACCATTGACTCAGTGTCGCTGCAAAGTAAGATCGCGTGAAGGCATTGTCCGGGATAATGGCGAGCTTGTAAGGTACGACCTTGCCGCGGCATTCTCGGGGAAGTGCGTTCGGTGACGTCGGGTCGACGTTGACGGCGCCTTGAAACACGACTCTGGTCTGGCACGCGCGGCGATCGGCCGACGTCAGTTCGTTCATGCGGATGCCGTCGGCAAAGGACGTGGCCGCGAGATTCACCAAGATACCAGACATAGTGGTTTCCGTGAGAAAGTACTTGGGGGTGCGGAAGGTTGAGGACGACGATGTGAGCAGATCCGACAGCGACGGCGTGGGTTTCGCGAACAGGTTGAACGTATTCCCTTCCGTCGGCCCAGTGGAAAACAAAGACGTCGCGGGAGCTTCCGACCACCCTGCAGGAATGCGGACGTTGTCGGTGAGAGTCTTGAGACCTGCCAAGAGGACGATGAACGCGACGGGCAACAGGACTTCAAACGCCCATTTGATCGGATGCTTCTTCTTGAGGAGATAGTTCTTCCACAGGAGAGCACGTGTGTGGCTGCGAGGAGCGCTCGACACCGCCGTTTTCCCGATACCTTCCGCCGACGGCGGACTTCTTGAGGACATTTCACGTCGTTTGTGCAAGTGCAAGTGCCGCCACGGAAATTCGTGTAAAAATTCAATCAAATCGAAATCGTTGACTAATCCAGGGCCATTTCAAGTTATTTCATACATTTAATCCCTGGAAATTGGAACATGTCAGTATTTACGATGAAAGGATGCAAGAAACGTTAAAGTCCAATGTTATTAAGAACTCTTTTTCGGACCGTGGTATCGACCGGTATCAGATTATACAGTGAACTCGGTATTACTACTAGTACGTAGTAACTTTTGCACTCCAAACTATATTAGAGTTTGTATGGAGCCATCAATTATCAGTTTTGGAATTATTTTCTTCCAATTGTACAGGTGGATGTTTACTACTGCATTCACCCCGTGTGATTGGCGAATCCTATGCTAAAAATATTCATTATGTACTCTGAGCATATACTGAGGTACTGCTACTACGTAGTACAAGTAATATACATCAATTGTTGACACAGCACCAAAAATTGTGAGACTGTCTGACTTTTAGCCAATAGCATCTCGATATTTCGTGTTGGCCTTGTATGATTGGATATGATAATACTCGTCTCTATATTTTATCACACGTCTCAATGTTGAAGTCTGGTCAGTTATTTTCAATCTCAAACAAAAAAATACAAGTATTTAAATAGAATATCAACTAGAAACCTTTGACGCTGTCCGGCCATACATGCCTACGGGAGCATCACGGCAGTTGTGCATAGCTATGTGATACATGGAAGTACTCACTTTAGAGCCATCGCTACCGTAGACAATGAAGCAGCAGCGTATTGCTCCTCGCAACGAGTGGATGGCATCCACTATGCCTCTACTACTGTTGTGATCCACAGCAGTGAATTAAAATGTGACTGCATTTTTTTTACGCTGACTAATTAAATTCATGTAAGTTTTTATTACGTATTGCGAAATGCATGCAATTATATTTTTAATCAAACTATTTTGCATATTAATTTAATCGGATACAAACATCAAGGTTTTTAAGGAGTGTCATGAATTGGTTCACCTCAAAAATCGTGACCATAAAGCTCAAAACGTTTAATTTCGATACAAATCTGAAATGTAGTCCAATCATCCTGAATGATACGTCAAAAAATGGTGGCTTTTTATATTCTATTTTGGTGCTATCAGCATTAAAATAATCGTTCTCGTTCTCGAGTTACTGGGATTTGAAGTCATGGCCAAAACTTGACCAAAAACAGTGTCAATAATTGATGCATTACCTGAGTATATTATCAAACTTGAAAAATACGAGGTAGAGCCATTTCGAACGACTTTTTCACCGATGATTCCCCAAGCGAGGCGAGCTTCTTGTTCCGCGCAATGGCCAAGTACTTGGCCTTCTTGGTGAGCCAAGTCTGCCACGTGGACCATGCAATCCCGTCAATGGCGCAAATGGCACTGGCTGAAAGTGGGGAGTTCTCGTACGCACGCAGAAGCTTGATTCTGTCCCGAAGCTGTAGCCTTTTTGGACGCGCTGGCGGAGGATGGGTGCTTGCATTTCATAATTTGAATTATTGGAGTTACGTTTCGAACCAATAGGCGATCGTCATGCAGATCACCTTTTGCTACCCAATCAGCAGCTAGGTCATAATTTTGCATTTTCGCCGCGACAAACATGGAAAGGATCAGATGAATAAAAATATGAATAAAAATATGGGGGTACCACGTTTGCGAGTTCTTACCGAGTGTACTTGAGACTGTGAAGTACTGTACTACTACCTCTGTTTTCGAACTATTGCGAGCGGAAATTCAACCACATTGTAAAAACAAGTGTACAGAATCTAAATTTAATTAATTTCATCTTCTGAGCTGAGGTCTGAAATCACAGTCAGGTTGCTCAACAGAACTGCCACCTCTTCTAACCTTCCTTCTTCCTCAAGTCTCAAGTTCATCATGTCTAACACTAACTCGTCGTCTTGAGTCTCTTTGCTACGAGGAATTTTATATCTATTGTCACCATCGTATGCAATAACAACGTTCATGACACGTCGTAATGTCAAAAAGGTTTTGTCCAGTGTCATGGGCGACAATAACTCAAACGAATCTTTCACAGCAACAATCAACTCCCCCATCGTCTGACACTCGAGGGATTGTTGAAGTGTCTGAATAGAGTTAAAGAAGCATAGGTCGAGAACATTTAGGTCAGGCGATTGTGGTGGTTGGTTTCGTATCTGAATGTCCCAACCTCCTTCTGACGCTGCACGGACAAACGCTGGGTCTTCTGGTGCAATGTGCGGACGCGCATTGTCTTGTTGAAAGAACACTGTTCCCGTTCAACGCCGCTTGGCCAGCGCCAACTTGACTTCAACGCGGGCAGCACTTTGCGCACAAACGGGTCGCGGTAAACGTCTCTGGTGACGGTGATGCTTGTCAAAACTTCAGTCCCCGCTGGTCGGTTGACGCTGTTTCTTGTTGCAGGTTTTCGCTCCACGATTTCCCAACAGCCCACTTTGCCATCCCACCCTTGTCTGGGGCGAGCCACTGCGACCAGAAACATGACCTTGGTGATATGCGACTTGGACTGCAGGTGCCGGGGTATGATGTTCTCGTCATGCCACACAAGAAAGCGCCGTCGCAACTTGGTCATGTAGAACCACTTTTCGTCCAAGTGAACCACGTCTTGCATGTCACTGATGACGTCCTTGGGCGGCTGAGTTCTGAATTGCAAGCAAAATTCCCGGCGTGCTTCTTTTTGCTTTGGTTTGAGACACGGCCTTGTCCAACTTGATTGCCTTGTCATCCACTTTCTCTTGACAAACGTCCACAGCAGGTACACAGACAACCCAGTAGCAGCGGCAAGGGATCGGTACGTTTGACGCTTGTGTAGCGGTACGTTCTTGATTCGTTGCTCGATGTCTTCAGGAGCGAACTTTGTTGGTCGGCCTGTCTTGCCCTTCAAGCGTGCGGTCACGTCCGCTATCCCACCAGACGTCTTGGTGGCCTTGCCTCGCTGGAAGATGCGCCGCCCCGTCGAATGATGCACACCGTACGTTGTGCAGACCGAACGAACAATATCCCTTGAGAGCTTGCCGTTCACGCTTTTTTCGAGCAGGTCTTGATACAGCGAAACCCTCATCTCATCAGTCAAATTTGACTTGGTTTTTGTATTGGATTTTGTCATGGCGCTTGGACTCCTACCTCTGCGCAGCCATTCGTTGGCACACCACTCGATGAGTCGCGGCCTCTGGCCTACACTCTGTGGAAAACGGACTTCTTGTCCCAGGCGACGACACGTGATCTGGCGGGATTCTACATCGAGCCCAACCATGTTCCTCGTGGCAACCGGCTCGAAGCTCTCAAGGTCAGCAAGACCTACCTCGAACTCGATGAGATCGACAACTGGGAATTTTTTGTTGTGGATATTTCCTTATCTGAGTATGATCGTAATTTGCGTTTGGCGGAAATCAAAGCGCACACAGCCGCCATTCAGGTCAAAGCGATCAACGTTGAGGCGGGCAAGAAGCTTGCAGCTCAGTGCTCTGCCGCGCACACATTCTTAGTGTCTGCCATCTCGGTTAACCTTCGTCGCCTCTACCAGACGACGGTGTGTCCCTACTCGCTCTTTGAGCTTCTTAAGGTTCGTTTCGAATCTAACCCCATGGACAACAACCCCACCGTCATTGCCAACCACCTCCGAACTCTCAAGGTCACGGAAGAGAGTTGTATCGACACTCTGGCTGTTGAGCTCACTGACCTCGTCAAGCGTTACCGCGTGTCGATGACCCCGCCCTCCTTCAACCTTTTGGACGCGTGGCGATCTCGTCTATCGACTACGACACCCACATCTGGAACTACCACACTCTGTGTGCCATGTCTG